TTTTTTTTTTTTTTTTTTTTTTTTTTTTTTTTTAATTTATTCTTGAATTACGCCTACATAGAGTATTAAGTAATTTACATTTTAGAAGTACACTTAAACTAGACTACATATAATTTCAAGATGTAAAGCTTATTTCCGTAGCGGATAATTCACCATTTTGTGAGTTCTCGCACACTTGTTTTATATCCAGAATGTTTAATCAACTTCAATTTTTTGCGGTGTTGCAGTAACACAAATACAAAAAATATGTAAATTCATATTGGTATATTCTACCGTCTTAAGAATTTCGTATGAGTTTCATTGTTTCAACGGAGGAGCAATCAGGGATGACTCTTTAAAGGAAGTATCAGCTGTTTTTAATTTGAGGAAAAATCGCGAATTGCCAAATTAAAGGGAAAAATCATTATCGATGTCTCACAAGAAACCAGTTCGGGCGAGTCACTTAAGCAGTTGATACAATGAAAGAACTAAATTGTTCTTACTCGCTAAGAATCCGTGCCAAATCGTCATATAATGCGTCATGCGACAAAGCTCGGGCCTGGTCTACTTCCGGCGTGTACGGGTAAAGCTGTGTGATGTTGAATGGTAGGTCGATGTTAATCAAGACGCCCAAATTTGTGGCCGCTTTCCGTTTCGGGATCTCGATTGGGTAGGCCAAAGCGACGGAAAACTGAAACCAATGAAAAATCCAGGTTCATTGTGGGTTAGGGTATGGAGCTGGGAAAAAAACATTTATCGGAATCGTTAGCGGTCATAGGGGATGTTTTTTTAAGGGTAAAAACGATGTACGTTCGTTCAAATCGCAGCAAAAGTTTTTAATTTTCTGAGGTTCCTTCTTGAGGTTTATAGGACGATTCGCCCCTCTGAATCGTCCATTGTAAAAATTGGATTACATTTTGCAATAGGGAACCACTATCTCTGGCTCTCCCATAAAGTCACGTATCTGCATAGGAAAATCAATAGCATGTATGTTGTTTCTAAAGTGGGCCAGGAATAGTGGTTCCTCATGGCAAAATGTAATCCAATTGGTCCATGGTCGACAAAGGGTATTGGTATGACACATGGAGAAGTTGTTATTTAAAAAATTGATCATACTAAACCATACACGGAGGAAAAAACCTCGTGCGTGGGACCTGAAGTTTAGGTCATATGGATCTCTGAAGTTTTCAGATTGAGTATCTGAACACTTAAAGTCTAGCTGCCGAGGTTCGGATCACACACCTGAACTTCAGTTCTTACATCTGAAGTACTTCAGATGTGAGAACCGAAGTTCTTCGGATGTGAAAACCGAAGTACTCCAGACGTAAGCACTGAAGTTTCAGATGTGTGATCTAAACCTCAGCAACTGGACCTTAAGTGTTCGGATGCTCGATCTGAAAACTTCAGAGATCCATATGACATAAACTTCGGGTCCCACGAAAGAAGTTTTTTTTCTCCGTGTAGGTACGAGGGACGTGAACGGTAAGACGGTAAAGTGCAGGAATCACTTCAGAGACTTAAGTGCAGCGCAGAAAAGTAGGCGCACCGACAAATACGAGTTGCTTGACGCATGAAGACCTCATTAAAAGTTGCTCATGCTGAACCACGAGAGAGATATATTTCGATCGCTAGTGGCACACCTTTGTTCTTTGCCTGTAGCTTGAACTTTTCAGGCCTCGGGCAACTTAATTATCTTTGAGGACCTGACTTCAGGTTTTGCCTTACTCTAATAGCATTGACCTTTAAAAGCAATTTTATTTCTCTTGCCTAAAGCACATTGTCTTTATGTTTACGTGTAGGTGCATGAGTTCGAATTTTAACTTGACATGGTACATTTTAACTTAATATTATCTGTGAACTAAGTTTTCTGTTAACTTAATAAAAATTAATTTCTTTGCCCTGAACTTTAATTTGCCTTGAATTTTACCTCTCGTAAATTTTACTTAAAAGAATACTCAATGAAGGTTTCCTAAAACGAATTATTTGACAATGTTTTCAAGAGTTGTCTTTGCAAAATTTACAAGTTTTATAGAAGCCATTCCAATACTTCTTTGGCCACCCTTAAATTCAGGAACATGCCAGGTACCCTTGACCTCCTTCCTTCGAAGACCTCAGTGAAATTTAAAGACGGTTCCTAAGGTTTCCTTTCCCATTAATTATCAGCGCAATATGACTATTGAAAGGAGGGTTGCTCATACCTGCAAGACGGTTCCAACAGGATACACAGCGCCCCTTTTTTCTCTCGTCTTTCCTTCGTGTAATTTAGCCTCGTCACTGCCCGAACTTATAGGTGCCAAAAACTGACATAGATAAATCAGGAGACCTGCTCGGATCCAAGTGACCATGTTCTTCCTCCTCGACGGCGCCGTTACTCCTACTAACCAAGCTACGCTGCCCTCGAATTTCACTGCAACCCGTTAAGCAAATATGGATCTTCAACGTTGCCACAAAGAACTACTGAATTCATGGTCTGGATAAACCTCTACACCGGTTGATAGAGTTGCATTCCAATAATCAATAATATTGCCGACACTACACCAATAACTGTTCGAATGTAAGTATGAATGGACATATTTTTGCCAAGAGAAATATATTGCACGCAAACCTTATACACCCAAATAGCAATTTTCAACGGGAAAATAGCAATATTTTAAATTTAATTTCGATTTTTTTTTTTTTTTTTTTTAGGATTTTTGGTAATAAAATCCCTAAGATGATCGCAACATCCAAGCGTTTATCCTCAATCTTGTCGCAATTTTATCTCGATAAAATCGCACTCGAAGAAATTGAAATTTTATCTCAACTTGTCACGATTTTTGTTCGATATTGCGATAAATCGCCGTCGATAAAATCGAGTTAATTGCAAATTTATGCGATGGAATCGCAATTTTTTATCCGGTAATATTCCAATAAATCGACTTTGATAAAATTGCGATAAATTCTCCGATCAAATCGCAACATATCATGATAACTGCTACTTTGGGCACATAGATTGAAGCCTCCATGAAACTCTTGACAAGTATTTTCAAGAACGGATCGTTGGGTTTTAAGCGCAGATCAATGATAAAACCAGCAAAACTCTATCTCGAATCGAACCTTAGCAACTTTCCAGTCTTAATCATTCTTTAATGAACAAGAACCTGTTTCTCTGTTTTTGTAACACATCTAATACAGAAGATTGAAAAATTAGATTCAAAATTATGCATTTCTGAAAATGAAAATAAAATGTTCGTGAAAATTTTTGAACATCAAAATCGAGATAAGTGTTCACCATCGCCGTACGTTTTGTGAAGTCTAAACACGGAGTAAGATACACCGTGCCAAAGACTGTAAGGTAACAAAATAAAATATCAACTTAATTTGGGGTAAGGCTGCAAAAAACAGAGGATAAATAAAAAACGTGTCAAAATGTTACAATTTCATTATCAACCGGAAAAAAGTCTAAAAAATTAAAATGAAAATGAGTCGTCGATTCGCTGTTATTGCTGCTTTTGTGTAAGTAACGCACTTTCTATGTTTTTGCGCTTGGCGCAGTTTCATTGATAATGCAACTATACCTAAGTACATGCGAAATTCCCAACTTCAAATTTTTTTATTTTTTGGGGGGGGGGGGCTTTGCGGAAATTATTTTGTCCTGTTTTGGAAACAGTCATTTTAAATAAGCACTGCTGACAACATCGCAAAATACCTGATCATGAAAAGTGCAACTAGGAGGAGCATGCGTGAGACCATTGAGATACTTATTTGACCCAAATACAGGTGATAACTGAAAGTTGTTGTTGAAGAAGCTCACGGTATTAGATCATTTCGCTGGCAACCGTCAAGTTTAAGAAATGCCGAGTGGATTTATTTTTCTAGTGATCTTATTGGCTGTCATTCCTGGACAAATAGTGTCAGAGCTCACCAAACTTCGGATTCGCGAGGGCAGTAAAGTATTCGTGAGTGTACCTCTTATACTTAAACTAAAAAAAAAACATATCTCCGTGTAACTCTCGATGCTTGACTTTGTTCCTGGGTAAAGTCCTATTGGTTGTTTAAAAGAGAGATTCTACCTCTTACTTCGCACGTAGAACACAGAACAGTGTATCTTTAATCTCCCAACACTAGTTTAAACTATTATTAGACCACGGCCCAAGAGAATTTAATTAATTTTGCGAACAACGAAAAAATGACTCAATATAAGATGTTCATGCATCGAACCTTTTGATTCGTCATGCTCAACAAGTAAATATACTTAGGGGCGCGCCCTTCAATCTAATTTGTGAGCCTCTGATCTAGTTTTTAGCCTATGGGTGCCTAAAAGTAAGCACCGGGGCTGCAAGCTAGCATCAAAAAATTTCCAAAATTGTTTTGAAATTTTAAAGAGGCAAAAGAAAAGGAAAGAAATGTAGCACGAATTTGACAAAAAGGGGTCCTCATAAAGTCCTCTGCATGTGCTTGTTCTGCCATCTTTCGCTGCTCAAGATTTCTTGAATTACCTTTTTGGAGGACACTTACCGTATGCGGAGCTTGAACTTTTTCTAGTGTATTTTAGTGCATAATGCGTAAGCACACGCCCCATGTTTTTTTCCTCAGGATTTCTGAGGTCTTATTAAATACCGTTTTAAGGACTCATTTCCCTCCAAAATAGCTAAATGGGTTGAAAAAGGTCAAAGAAAAGTGCTTCATTTTAAAATTCTCCTGGGAAAAATCAAGAATTTTGGCTACCACTTATAGACGATCCGGCACAATTGAATCAACTGATGTTTCTTAGGCATTAAGACCATTATTTTACACATGATCTGACGATCAGTTGTGATAAAGCGTCGCAAATTATATACTAGGTTTCCCAGACCACCTTACCACCCGCACTGAAAAAAAATTCTCGGCGTTTTTACCAAGGTCCGTTGGTACCTTTACCATCTCACTTTTTTTACCAATTATTGGTAATTTTACCAAGACAAACTGGTAAGTTTACCTAAAAACCGGTATTTATACTTACGGTATTACCGAGATTTCTCGGTAAAATTACCAATTCCATAAATGGTAATTTTACCTAGAAAAAACTGGGATCAAATAGAACCCTGAATTCTTGGTAATTTTACCCTCTTCTTAGTAAAAACACCGAGATTTTTGTTTCAGTGCGTGTCAGGCTTTTTTCTCGGTTATTTAGGTCGGTTGATGATTAGGATCAGGAGGTTAAATAGAAGGAGACCCAAGGGAGACTGAAAGATTTCAAAACCATAAAAGTCCGACTCCTGGAGTCCACTGTCTATTCAACTTCCACGTCCCTAACAACATCCGACCGGTAATCCAGGATTGCGCAAAAGGTTTAAGAAAATATATGAGGATTGCGCGAAAAAGGCAGAAGGATTGCGCGAATAGAAACCTTAACATCTGCTACAGGAATGCGCGAATTTGAAATGAAGTTAATTTAAGGTAGAAGTTTGGCAAAACAGGAAAAATTTGGAAAATAAACACATTTTTATGTTAACGCTAGTTTAGGTTAGTTGACAAGTCATCTATGTCTTATACCTTCTGATGATAAATGAAGTGAAAAGATTGAAGAAAGGCCGTGGGTATAACGAACTTTCCTAACTTTTCTCGGAAAAAAATATTTAAAACGAAACGAGGCAACGTTGGAATGCTCAAACGGCGTCGAAACACAGCATGGCCTTTAAAGCTCTATTATTCGATGCCGCGACTATAACGCGAGTTCGAATAATCGTGCCAAACACAGTGCGGCCAGCGTTAAACTAATATTAGTGCCTGCAAGACTGCAGGAAAACTTCACGCATTGCGCCAAACGCAGTGCAGTCGGTCATTTGGCGTGAAACGCATATTAGCGCCTACACGATTGTATGCTCTATTGCCTAAACAAGCTTTGAACTTGAGCTATAAAACTTTCACCGGAGGATTGTCTTGTTAAGAGATTTCGCTTGGAACGGATTTTTAAGAAATCTCCGCGCTCCCAAAAAACTGACTTTTGTGCACTTTTTGACGCACAGGCCTTTCATCTGTGATTTTCACACGTTATTTCTTTCCTTTTTTCCCTTTGAATGATTTGCACAGATGCGAGTGACGTTGAAATTGAATACGATTCCCTCCACGAGGATATTTGCCTCCGCAATCGGCTATAGAGTTAATTGGGACATTTTACCAGTGAAAAAGAAGAAGAAGAAAGCTACTCGGAAGGAATATTTGCTGCCATACGCTCAGCATGTTCATCTGAGGAAAAGAGACGTTCACGCAACTATATCAAACATCCTGAACAGGTTTGTTAAAAAACTTACACTTTGAAAAAACTAATAAATGAATAAATTAAAATATATGTACCCATGTGTATGTATGCATACATCTGTAAAATTGGACAGCGTTTAGTAGAAAGGAACCAGCCACATCAGCTATTGTCAAATTTAACTGGACAATCCAATTTTTTTACAAGAGAACGTTCGTTCGGATTCCTTTAAAAATTTTAAAGAATTTACTTCGTAACATGCAGCAAATTCACTGAAATTTGCACAAAAATCCGCAAAACCGTTTTCATGGAAAAAATTAATTTGCCCGATGAAATTTCGCAATAGCTGATGTGGCTTTGTTCCTTACTGCGATCCAAATATCCGCGTCCAGTACGCTGGGCTGTTCTGCCTGTGCTAGAGTACCTGTATAGGGAGAGTAGCGACAGATCGGTTCATGGAGGGCTTAGGGGCCCAAAAGTGCAGCCACCCTTCTGAGCAACTTCTAACACACAAAATTTCACTGCCAGCCTACAGATTTCAATTCTAACCAAGATGGCTAAGAATGTACATAAATGAGCGTTCTTTCGCAAAAATAAGTAAATTTATGCAAAAAGTAAACCAAATACATGCTTTCTAAACGACGGTTCGTAACAATTGTATTTGTAAATCGCTCTGGACATTCGAAATTCATAGGTTGGCTGCCCTTTTGGGCCCTAACTTTATTCGCGAAGGCATCGGTGAAGGCCTGATGGACTTTCGGAGTTTCAGATCTGTCGCTACTCTCCCTATACAGGTACTCTAGCCTGTGCTAAGGGAAAACGCCGTATGAACTTTCAGGCGTTGTCGTATTTCCTTTGACAAATTTCGAATTGTCGGGAAAATTTTTGAATATTTTTCTTCCTATTTTTCGGATAATTTTGGTCACAATTACACCTAAAGTTCCTGACAATTTTTAGGAATATTGTTCGTAACTTTCCTCAAAAATATACATTTTTTCGAAGGAAATTTGGCAACTCTCGGATGTTTATACGGCGTTTTTCCTTAGCACGGCAGTATTGGGCATGCAACTTGGTATACTTTCACGACTGCCCTATAAGTTCTGAGCGTATAGCTTTCCTTCTCCCAGTGTTTGCAGCATTTGCACTTTTGAGCGTGAAGGCTTGATTATCTATAAGGACTTTCAACTTTATAACCTTTATTACTAGCCAAGCCACCGCGGAAGTGTTTTAATTTTTGCAACTTGTTCATGTCGTCACCTTCCAGGCAAAGTATCACAAGCGCCATGCGACGTTTAAAAATTTCCGCCGCCATTTTATTTTTTTACAGAGAAATTGTTCAACGAAACCGTCCGAAAATTTCACTGAATTTTCTTTGTACTGCCGATAAAATTTAGTGAAATTTCCAAACAGATTCAACCAACAATTCCTCAGTAAAAAAATAAAATGGCGGCGGAAATTTTTAAACGTCGCATGGCGCTTGTGATACTTTGCCTGGAAGGTGACGATGTATTATCCGGTGATTACCCCTCCCCCCTTACCTTTTTGTACGAGATGGTTTTCGCGAATGCCTCCAAGTTTTGCCCTTTTCATTGTCATGCTTTATTTTTATTACGCAGGCACGGCTTCAATGGGAGCTCTTGTGTTTTAAGAGCAAGCTGTGAATCATCACTGTTCAATCCGTATGACGTAAAGACGCAACTTTTTTCAATTTTATTTCCGTAAGTATTCACAGATGCGTATGTTATATTGGAAAGATTTTTTTATATATATATCAATGACCCTCTGGGTGGAAGTCAGGGCTGGATTTACCAATTTTTCGCCGTAGGTTGCCTATATTTTGCCGCCCCTTCTTATCCGTTTTGAAACATCAATAAGAACCATCAAATGGACGTGCCAGAGGGCGCATTTTTTCTGAAAGCCCTGCCCAAGTGCCCATCCTGGTAAAAATTGACAGTAGAATCTGTGTTCCAAAATACCATAGACCTTCGGCCGGCTGTAAGATTTCCAATAGCTTCTATAGCCGGTTACACAATTTCTTATAGCCTTTTATAGCCGATGGCGATTATGCAACAGCCAAGCGATAAAGTGTATACCAAGCGTTACTAATTACGGATGCTAGGACTTGATGAGTTTTTGGAATACTGCTCTCTTTTTGGGCCGTAGTATCTTGATTTATTTTGCGAGGAAAGCTCCGTACTTTTGATGGATGCCTGCCATTCCTAATATATTAGAGCGCCTTCAGTTTCGTATGATACTGTGCAGTACCTCTGGTGTGAAATAGTTGCTTCAAGCGCCGTGCATGGCACGCTGCGGTCCGGCAGGCGGGCAGCCAGCGCTAAACGCGCATTGGCGCCTACAAACCTAACAGGGATACTTCACGCGTTGCGCAATGCGTGAAGTATCCCTGTTAGGTTTGTAGGCGCCAGTGCGTCGCCGCTCCGCTTTGTGATAGGCTCTAATATTTAATCTGGCCGAGTCAGCGTTATTCAACTCATGATTTTGAAATGTTTGCACATCCTGTATGGATTAATCTCGTTTTAATTGATGAAAAAGTATGTATTATAGGAAAATATAACGTGTGTTGTGTGAATATTAAGGTGGTTCCGTATCAAACTTAATGATTTCCAAAGCACACGAATTCCTACACAATTTCATATAGCCTTTTATAATCGATGGCGAAGAAGCAACAACCAGGCGATAAAGTGTAAAGCCCAGCGACAGGAACTATAGGCCGGCTGCATAATTTTTTATCGCTTCGTATAGCCCGGCCGTATGATTTTCTCCGCATTCAACAGCCAGCTATATGATTTTCTGTAGCCCTCTTCAGCCGGCTATAAGAATTCATATGGTATTTTGAAACGCAGCTCTTATCGCCAATTTTTACCAGTGCACACTAGCTTAAGCTCACGAAAGTTAAGTTCCGTAAACCTTTCTCTGTGTGAACAAGGTTGCTTTCTCTCCTGACTCAAATAATTCAAGCTGCAAACCGATAATAATACCGATAATAATCTTGTACTACCGAAATACGACAAAATCAGATATTACTTATACAGTCGGGAAGTGAGAGATTTTGCCGCCTTCACTAGTTTGTCATTTTTTTTCTGAGTCCAAATCTTTTTTCATATCTACATATGTTTAAAAAAATTGCAAAATTTGCGTATCCCCTAAATTTGACACCATTGGCGATGACCCATGTGCTCCCATCCCCTTAATTCGGCCCTGGCGAAAGAGAGACTCTATATTATACCTATTGGATTGAATTAAGTACATACGTACCTACTTCCATTTACACAATTGCAGATACCTATGGATTTTGAAAACTTCCATGAGAAAGAACGTCTTCAATATATATAATTATACTAATAATCATATGACTTATGAGCAGAGACTGGAGACTGTATTTGAAATGAAAACTTTTCTGCGTACACCCACACCCACACCCTACACTCTCTCCTCCTGGAAGAAGGGGGTGGATGTAAAATCATTAATATAAACTTCGAAGGATTCTGCCTTTTTCTATTTCACTCGAGGGGAAGTGTCCCCTCCCGGACTCTCTTCCCCACCCGGTGACTGACGCTGCGCTGTGCTGAACGGTTCAGCCTGAACCTTTCCCCTACGTCTGACCGTTCCCCACTCCTCTGTCAATCGAACCATATGCCACCGCTTACGTAGTGTCGCTCGCCCACCCAGGTACCTAGCGGCCGGCGGTCAGTTGATGATAAATCTCGCTCATGCTCCTATGCAGCTACGCATTGATTACGCCAGCTAATTACTTTCTAATAATTAGAATTTCTTCGATAATAGTTTTCTTTATTTATTCGACTGTATTTTTTTCTCTGTTCTACTGTGATTTCCTTGGTTCTCTACTGTGTTTTTCCTAAATCTCTGAGTCAGAAATCTGAAGCACTTCGGTATGCACCGAGTACTTCAGATGTGTGACCTGAAACCTTCGGTATATACCGAACTACTTCAATTGTCTGACCCGAACTTCGGCAGATGGACCTTAACTTTTCGGATGCGTGATCCGAAAACTTCAGAGATCCATATGATCTCAGCTTCGGGTTCCATGCACAAATTTTTTTCTCCGTGTTTCCTTTTAGGGGACGCAACTAAAATTTCAGTAAATTTTTTTCAGAAAAGTAAAGAAAAGAAGAAGAAGAAAAAAAAAGTGGCTAACGATGGTTCCTCACCTTCACGTGGTGTTGGCTGTTTTTACTAAGTGGGAACCGTCCATTTTAAGATATAGTCTATTTCTTGCCCTGCCATTATTATTCTACAAGTTAATTGTGGAGTGAGAATTTCATAATGTTTTCTATGAAATCTTCAAAATATAGTGATAAAAAATTTGCAACTACTACAAAATCGGCTCGCGAAGCGAGCCGAATGTCACTCGCGTAGCGAGTGACCGGGGGTCCAGGGGGCGTAGCCCCCGGCTAGGCGTGACGGGCGCGCGAAGCGCGCCCAGAACGGCTAGTAACATAATAATGGTATTATACTTTATTTTTAACAATGTCAAATATAAAACATTCCGTAAATCCGTATTTACAATTTTTCACATTCAAGAGACTAGTTTCAACAGGTTCGCTTGGTATCATATCATGGAGGCGTTTAATTTATGTATTTAATCATTTATTTTTTTATAGGCCAGTTCAGAGGAATTCTTGTGATCAGCCATTTGATGACTGCCCGCTGTCCTTGCTGCATATCCTTACCCATGGCAATAATTGATCAATACAATCACAATACTTACTTGTTTCACAATCTCAAGAGGATGACAAACAAGCCATAGAGTGGCAGCTGTATCTTTTGGATTTTTTTAATGTTTCCTCGCTGCTGATAAATGAGAAATAGGTTTCTTAAGAAGAAATACCCGCCGTTTTTGCTGACAAAAACGTTGGTCGCAGTGTATTCAAATGTCATTCATCATATAGGTATTTACAGCTGCACTTATTTTTATTTTAATGAATAAATTGGGATAAAAAATTGGTGGAAAATGCGTCTGCGGACCTGCGCGCCTGTAAACTTTCTCCGCAAAATTGAATTTCGCGCCAACGATGATGATAAGAATCTAGATGAGTGCCGTAAAATCATCAACAACCGATGACTAACAACCATAACAAAAATACTTGTCAATCGTCCGTGTTTTTTCATAATTTCATTAGCAAGATGTAAGTTCAAGTTCTTTTTTTTCTTAAATAAATTATTACATATCTTTGCTCAAGTATGCGATCATCATCTCCTTTCTTTTATAAAGTTCTTGAGTGAATTTCCTCCAACTTCGTGGTTTGTATCTGCAAACTGTGTTGTGTTAAACCCCAAGGTGTTGTCAGTAAGTTGGTGTCATGAATTGATTTGTCTACTTATCAGCTACCACCCACTTTTTTTTAGCTTCGTGGAGATAAATTGCACTTAATTGTACAACATTTACTTTCACATTTGTAATATCATTTTAGAAACTATTGGCAACTGAATCAGCCGCGTAATTGTCAGGTAGCATCAGAATTGTGAACCGAGATTTACACTTTTCGCTTCGGTGAGAGTCCATACCAAGAAAATTTAAGCACTTTCAGAGTGCGACAAAAGATCGCATGCCTTAAATTTAGCATTGGAAGTAAAGTGAAGAATCAAGGAGGGAGATCTTCTCTGTTGCATTCTGGAAGTGTGTGAACTTATTTGGTGTGGCCACTTAACGCTTATTTTTCCACGGTACGAAGATACCTTTGAGATAATCAACTTCTTTGGAGTTCTTTTAAAGCCAATAGTAAATGAGGTTTATAATCATGCCCATGAAGTGATAATTTTCCAATCAGTTGGATTTGTAAACACTGTCACCTTAATCCATTCCGACAAGAAATATGGTATATACATTCAGTGAGAAATGTAGATTTTTATCAGCTACATTTTAACCAGCTAGTTGTCTATGTGTTTAACAATTGCTCAGTTGAAAGAAATGGAGACATCACAAGTCTGAGGTGAATCTCAATGATGCTCTCGTTCATTTCCCCATTGCAGCAGCTGTCTGTTCATCGTCTGAATTGTAGAAATCCTAACCTTCACTAAGAATTTGACCACTGATTAAGCTCATATTTAAAATGAGTTTAGGTTTAAAATCCTTGTATCAACACCGCTTCCTTACGAAACTACAATTAGGTTTCACTTAATTCAGCTTCAAAACATTTGATTGACTGGAAGTAGATCTCTGCCTTAAGAGTATGACAAAACTATGTAGTTAAGTCAAAAAAAGGTACAGCCATAAAAACTTCCTCATTTGATTTTTTATCGATTCATTATGTTCTTTTTGGCAATAGGTATTTTTTATTCTAGTTTTAGTCTGATTATCATCAAAATTTGATCATATAGGTTCTCTGTTTCTTTCTTTTTGGTAAATTTTACACTGTGTGCTATTTTGGTACAACCATTATTGCTGATCTTTCAAAGATGATTTGAAATCTAGAAGTACCTGTTTCACTGTCATGTTTGTGATGATTTGAAGAAAAGTTTATGTACCATATACTGTTTGCATCGTGATTATTTTTGGTCATTATCTTCAATCGAGTAATATAAAGTAATCATTTTGTATGTTTCAACTTTTAGGAGTCACTTGGTTTTTGATCAGCTTTGCATCTAGATAAAGTGAGCACCTTTCTTCTTTTTCTGGTTTACATCATAAGTTAAAAAGATGGATAGTGGTAACTATGGACCGTCTTCGTACAACAGCACGGGATATGGAAGAGAAAAAGACTTCCAGAAGGTTGCTCATACCATCGGAACTAATATCCAGAAAATCTCCCAAAATGGTAAGCACTTGAACCCCCTAATCATTTCGCAACTAGCTTTGTTATCATGAAAGTAAAAATCCTGTAGTCCTGCAAGTTCCGGAAAGAATACCTCAACTAATGTTACCGATTGTTTTCTTTTTCCAGTATCCTCCATGAAAAAAATGGTGAGTCAGCTGGGGACTCCACAAGATTCTGCTAATTCCAGGCAGAAACTGTAAGTATCTAATTTGTTAATTCATTAGTCTTAGCTCTATTTATAATTAAAGCCATTTTTTATCTTGAGTCAAAGGAGGCTTTTATTGTTAACTTAGAACAGATTGTAAATTCAATATTTACTTACACCAGAAAACAAATCAGAGAAATGCATGGTATTATGTAATGAATTATTCCATCACTAAAACAATGACTCTTTGCTTTAATTGAAGAATTTAATTACAAAAAAAGTACCTAAGACAGAAAACTGAAGACAAGAAAATATCAATCAATGATTCAAACTGACCCCAATTTGTTGGAATGTATTAAGATCAGTAAGTAAAACTTTTATGAACCAAGCAAATCAACCACAACTCGCCTTACACCATGAAAATCAGTTGTTTTAAATAGATGTCTGTATTCTCAGAGGTGAAATGATCACTAAACAATGGGCCTCTTGCAAACTTTTGTCAGAGCAAAAATAAGAGATGTTCCTTATAGATAATGTTTCAAAAATTAAGATGAGCGCATCGGCAAACTCTGAAATGCACTCCTAATTTCACTATCTGCGCAAGAAATTTGCGTTTTTTTAAGATTCCCGTTTCAAAAAGGATATTACAGCACAGGTGAACATTTTAGGATTCGTTCCATTCAATCCCTGCTCAACATGGCTGACGCTTCCGCACGCAAGTTGAGGAGAGCAGGAAGTCAATCAACACGGATATCTAACAACGCGAGGAAAGTGTGAATGTAAACTCGCCGATTGTTATCAGGTGGTTAGAATTATTGTCCCGTCACATGTGTTTTGGCGGATTGACGTCGGCTATGTTGAATATTGCGTAATATCCTTGTGAGCAGGGGTTAGATGGAATGACTCCTCTAACGAAATGTTCACCTGTGCCATGGTATCGTTTTTGAAGCGGAAAGCTTGAAAGAAACGCAAATTTCTAGAGCAAATTGTGAAGTAAGGAGTGCATTTCAGAGTTTGCCGATGCGCTCATTGTGATTTTTGAGACACTTTCTATGAGTAGCAACTCTTATTTTTGCTTTAGTAAAAGTTTGCAACAGGTCCATTATAGTAATGGGATTATCAGAAATGAATCTAGCTCATCAGAAAAGGTTGCTGGACCATTTAATGTTTATTTATTCGATTTTTCAGCCATCAAATTCAACATTACACGCAGCAGCTGGTCAAAGATACAAGTGAGAATATCAAAGAACTTGCTGATATCCCAATTCCACCTCTTGAGCAGGTCAGTCAATTTCTGTCATCACTCCGAGCTCTTTTAATATGATTTTATAAATATCACTTAAGCTGTGTAAAAAAGTGCAAGTAGTACTCATGAGCTGAAAATAGAAATACGATCTTTAAATTCAGCATTTTGATTTAAATGGATTCAACATCAATTAGCCTAACTGTGTTTCTCGTTGCCTGAGTGTCCTCTCAAGTTTAATCTTCTTAACAGAGAACTAAGCAACCTAATGCCTTGAAACTTCCTGTACATTTCCCTGGCTAATGAAGAATGCTTTCACAAAATTTCAAGTCAAAAGAATGATTACTTTTCTGTTAAAGAAGTAAAACATGTAAGGAAATTAGGCAACATTCGATATGATTCAGCCAATCCCTATTTGGGTGGATTTAATTCATGTCTCGTAATTTTGATAACTCTCTACTGAGTTTCAAAATTTTTAACCGCTCAGAAATTTTTACTCCTAGTTTGCATTCCTTGTTTTTCAATAACCCAACCGGCCACTGCCAAAAATAATGTTATAAAAACGTTACAAGAACATTGGTACAACATAGATTTTTTTAGTGATATTGTGACAACCTTCTCGCAACCACTTTCTTTTGGGCAGGAAATCTGTACACATCAGTATTGCCCTTTGCACACGTTGCAAGTTTTAAGTTGAAAGTGGGGGTTATCGATGAGGGTTTTTGCAACATATTTCACAATCATCGATGAGCGATGCACCGATGAGCGATGCACCGATGACCCCCACTTTCGGTAAAACACTTGCAACGTTTGAAAAGGGCATATTTCTTCCCTCCATACCTAGAATTAAAACTATAATTGCCTCTCTTTACCGCTATTTTCTTCCTCCCTGCACATCTCTTTCACATTTTTGTTGAACTCATTTCAGAGACAATGCAAAATGCAAAAGGACAGGCTCTTTGATGAATTCACAACTGTATTGAATGCTTTTCGAGAGACTCAAAAAAAGACCTTGCAAAAAGAGAGTGAGGAATTAAAGAAAGGAAGAGCAGATTCTGTGTCCATCAAAATTCCAGGACCGCCATCCAATGATGATCCTTTCAGAGGTTAGTTTTTGCTTAACAACAAGTATGTATCGCCTCTCATCCTTTTCTAATCATTATTGTTAATAAGCAATTCATGTATTGTTGTGCACCTACATATCTCTTTTATAAGGGAATAAATTTTCATTTCTTTCCTTAAATTTCCTATGCTTTTTTACTGCAATTTTGTAAGTTTATCTGAATGCTAATAAAAGTATTATTTGAAGAAAGGTTAGTTTTGTGTATCATAGGTAAATGATAAACATGGGTCCTGAAAGTGCTGCATCATGCATGTCAAGGGTAAACTGTAATCAGTTTGCAACACTGCAGCTCCCCTGTCATGATTTATTTTTCGAATAGAAAAATACACAATTTTGTGTCTTAAAAACTTCTTTGATTTTCTTCTCGGTTTGAAAAATACTTGGCGAAAATTTCATGCAGTAGTGATGGTACGTTCTCGTATGATAAAATAAAATAGGAGTGGAGATTTTGAAACACTGCAAACAAGATTTTGCGTTATTGCAGTTTCGCTATCGATTTGCCACCGTGGTCATTGAGTTCTTTTTACCTGTTTTCAATCTGAAGTTTTTAAAAGTGATAAAAATGCACTAGATACACTTTAGAACAACATCTTTTATAATGGATACCTTAAAGGCAATGTTAAACAATTACTTGTTTATAAGCATTTTTGCTCAGATTTTTCTCAGTTTCTTTTTTAGGCCAGCCATATCTTTCCTCTCCATATAAAATTTGATTTTGTTGAATTACTTGGCCTCCTACAATTTTATGAAAATATTGCTTCTTTTTGCAGAGAGTAGACATTCCAATCTTATAGAGCTTCGAGACTCAAATAGTGAGCGAATGCAAGCTCAAAGGCAACTGGAAATAGACGAAGAGGAACTTCGTATGCAGATTGAGCAAGAGAAAGCTATTAGACAATTAGAGGTAAGTTTCCTCATTCATACCTTCCCATTGGCTTTCACTCTAGTTATCTGGTTGGAGTTGAAGTTATGCAGGAGATAAACAGCCCTCGTTTTAAAAGAAGTTTGGACAGGAGCTCTTTTGAATTGTGCCGTAAAAGACAGGAATTGAAAACTAAACATTCAAGCTCTAATTACATATTGCATTTAAATCCAAAGCCACCATTCTATTCGCTTAATGAGGATTAAAACTTCAGGTATTTTTCCTCAAAATAAATCTAGTATTTATTTCAGGTCATCATCTACAAGATTGCTGGTGAGTGCATCCAACTTTGATGTTGGTAATCCTTTGAAGACCACCATCATAAATTTTCAAAAAAAAATTTGTTAAGATCTCAATTCTATAAAAACAGTCTCGCTAATTGTATTCATTATTTCCTCCATCAAGCTTTTGGTGAAGTATGCACATCTTGAGTAAATTCCGAAGCAAAGTCCCATGTTACATAATTCTCTTCTCCACTGTATAAATGTGAAGTTTCACTTTTATTTTACATCTAAGTTTATCATCAAGTATTTTTAATGCAACCACCGGAGCTTAGCACCCCTCCCTTTCCAGTTCATTGTACTTCTAATTTTTTATCTACTTCTTTATTTATTTATTTTTTATTTTTATTTTTTCTGGCTTTGATTTTCCTTCAATATAATGTGGGCTCAGCACTATTCTACCTTCTTGTTCTTTTTCTTAGATGCCAATGTAATTGTTGTTGCCAAAGATTATTTTTCATTCGACCCACTGGCCAAAATTGTCGAGGAGTTAAAATGAGGAATTGGAAACTTGTTCATTTATTTCCTCTTTTTTTCAGGGTGAAATAAGTGATGCAAATCAGATCTTCAAAGAACTGGCTGTGTTAGTGCATAGTCAAGGTGAGATTGTAGATAGTATAGAAGCCCACGTGGAAAACACGGGTATAAATGTGCAGCAAGGTGCCAACCATCTTCGAGAAGCTAGTAGACTATCGGTGAGTGATTATCGCATTCTTTTTCCTCCCAGATACAAAAAAATTGATCTTTAAAATTCCTGAGGTCAAACTTATTCTTGATTAGAAATACCATGCCCATTTTATTTGTGAACTTGATGATGAAAAATTCAGCAGCACTTCAAAACAAATAGTTGAACTCACTTCTCCTTCATTCAGTTGTGAGATTCAACTATGTTTTTATGAATTTTCAACTATCCAGCGTTTGTACTATGCAACTTGGGCTGCTGTTACAATTCATCGGATGATCAAGGTATTAGCAAGACCATTCTACTCAATTAAGTTATTCCCGCAGATGAATTTTGGAGGTACACTACGCAGTGAGGTAGAACTTGCTGTTTGCAATGTATTTCTTATTGGAGCAGCCAATGTGACATTACACTGGATGCAGCCTTATTAAGGCTGAATGGGAAAGTGGATTTCAAAAAGATGCACCATGACTGACTTGTGTGGATTGGTCTTGGATATTATTGTTCATGATTAAGTGTAATCTCTAGGGCATCAATTAATTTTTAACTTAATGATTTTGTTTCAGAATAAACTCCGGAGACAGAAGTGTCTGTGCTACAGTATAATTGGTACTTTTACATTTGTCATGATTTTAGTCTTCATCCTCTGGAGTCGAGATTAGTTGCCTAAACCTTTTCAGAAGTCAATAATGAAATTTTCTACAGCCGATCATGGTTCACTTGTGTTTTTAATTTATTATTGTAAACTCTAACTTACTTGTGTCATTATTTTCACTTAATCCTTCAGAGCTTACGAGATTCACTGCCAAACGGCAAAAATCTTTGTATGAGTCAAATTTTGTGCTTTTGTACTTGCTGATCACTTGCTCTGCAAATTGCACTCACCAAATTGAGGTCACGCAAGTGAGGAAAGTTTTTACTTTTCCCCAGTATAGTCTGATGACTTGAAAAACTTTCCTTTTGTTGATGTTAGATAGCATTTGCACTTTCAATTGATATAAGTGGTTGTTAGCACAGGTAATGAAAATATTTTTTGAAAGCTGAAGGATTTTGGTTATTGTGGTGTAAGTGTTACACCCTGTTATTGTGATTGCCTCTCCTTTAGAATAGACAACAGGAAATCGGCTCATTTTGCGAATGGGCTGTTGACAAATTTTCATCTTAAAACATGCAAAAAGTGACAAAAAGATAGCGACTGATGTTGGATATTAGAGGAAAATTGTTGGTGTAAGCATGAATAATTTTTTACCGCCTTTTTTGTGGAATGGACCAAAAATTGGCCATTTTGCAGAATGACCAATCACCATAATGAGGTGTAACATAAGCACTCTTTGGCAGATGTGTAAGAAGAGCCTACTCTTTCCAATTTCCTCAGAAAATCCTCCAAGACTCTCCTATCTCTCTTGAGCAGTATCATTACTTCTCTCTTTTCCAAAAAACTTTTCAGTCATCTCTGTACTGCACTATAGTTTGTGCAAATGAATTAGGAACTATTTTTTCGGACATTAGCTCAGACTTTGTGAATGACAACATGTAAAGATGGTATGATGTGTGTCTGTATTTTACCAATACATCTGTTCTTAATCAAAGATCGATAGCTTAATTTTAGAAAAATGCGTATTTTGATTGCAACGTTTAAAAATCGCAGATTTATGTTTTAATTTCTTCAAGCAAAACTTATCAAAATATTTCCTTGCAATTTACTGTGATGTTTTTAGACTGAGTGAGGATAATACATAGAAAATGTTAGGCAGAACTTTTTGTCTGTTACTCTTTAAAAAAATAAAACGTGAGTACAAATACAACGGCGCCATCTGAAATACGCATTTTTCGATTTTAGCCATTGTTACGTTTTTCAATGGTGCTGTCAGCTAAATCTAAAATCAGTGTAAATATTAATCAGTATTGAAATTTGAAAAAAATTGTCGTGTCAATTTTCTTCAGTCAATGGGCAAAAAGACTGGTTAACAAAGCGACAGATCAAACGGTAAACCAACAGTTTCATGCCGCGATAGGCTCGGTTTGGGTTTAACAGGTAATTAGGTCTTTCAGGTAATTATCATTCATGGTGAGGAAAGTAGCAGTGGTTTTCATCACTGAAATATTTGCAAAATCCTGATGTATTACTTTTCAAGCCTCATTCTGGATGTACAAGGATAATGTATGATATTAAAGCTTATCCATGGTCTTGATTTGTCGCATGCAGAAAAATATCAATTATAGAATGTAAAAAGAAGGTACCTAAGCATATTATCCTATCCTATTTTAGATTCTTGCCCCTCTCAAGATTCCTGAATTATCAATCAAAATTCTAAAAATAGTTTCCTTTTATTCAATGTTGATTCTGCAAGCCTTTTAATAGGTCTGTAGGCAAGGTATGAATGAAAGCAATGTGCAGGACGTTCTCTCTTCAAAATTTTACAAGGAAAATGAATTTTCTGACAGAAACCCTCAGAATGAACTCATGAACAAGTTGTAAATAACTTTTGAGGTGCATCTTGCATGTGTTGAATACAATGGAAAAAGGTTAAAGATACGAACAAAATATAAAATAACCCTACGAATTCCAATTTTGCGTGTTGTGATATATGTACATTTTTAACCTTTTTCTTTTAAGATATAAATATTTATTATTAACTCGGGTTAAATGGCTAGAATACAAAGTACATTATTGTACAATCTAACTTCCATGGTATCTATAATGGAAATACTTGTCAAAATCTGGTTCAGGAGTTAATTTCCAAACTTCCAATTGTCATTGTTTTCCACCTAAGATTCTGAAGAGAAACATGTGACGAGTTTTTCTGTCTCATACCTTGTCTACAGGCCCATCGATAGTTTTAATGATTTTTTTTTCTTGCTGAGAAAATTTTTAGGGAAACACCAGTGGTGTCTCACTCTCAAGTTCATTTATTTTACCAATGGTTTTTAACATTTTAATTATTTTTTGTTCTTACACATGTTTGTTATTTCATTTTAAAAGTATTATTTTAAAAAATCTTTAAAACAATCAACTCTCATTTATTTACCTTTAAGTATCACTGAGCAGAGAGCAGGTGAATTTCTACTTAATAGAGTTTCTCTAAATTGGGTAATGCAATCTAGAAAAGGAGGATATTCAGTGTTACTCTCAACTTCTGTCCTAAGTCAGTCCTTATCATCAAAATAATGCATTTGTTAGTACATATTTATCATCATTGGAGTGCTCTGATGAAAGAGAGGCAATTCCGTCCCAGCTGAACTGAATAATAAAAAATCATAAGTATCCTTCCAAGGACTCAGAAAACTAAGGTTTAGGTCAAGATATGCAATTATGCTACCAAATGTGAAGAAGGGAAAATAATTAGAAAACCTTGTTATTCTATGTGTAAGATGTAGAACAGCGCTACAACGCAGTAAAGAAGGGTGAGAAAGATCAAACGAACTCAAAAATTTTCAGGCAAGTATGCAGCCATCATCAATCTGACGAAAATGAACTAACTCACATTAACCTACTATTAACATTGGTTTGTTTTATTTTGCCCGGGAATAATAATAGCTGCCTAACTGGCTGAAGCGTTTCGGGCTCTCTTCACCTTTTTGAGCCTTATTCTTCGCATTTTAGCATTATTTTTCATCTCTAGTATGTGTCATGGGCTGCTCGTGGTTTTCTTTGTCCTTATTACATCTATACTATGTCTTTAGATCAGCTTTTATAGATTAAATATACCATTCTTTCATCAAAATTAAAGATCGGCATTTTTGTAAGACTCTTTTGTCCTTTCCATTTACATATGATTTCAATTGGTATGTTTAAGTCGCATTTAGCCGATGATGGTTAATTTTTTGTGCTTATCAAGTGTCGGTGCTACATCTTTAGCTATGATGAGCATTCAAGAATGTTTCAGTGAAATATTGTGTTTTTCCTCACACAGAAAATAACCTCAATTTTATTCCTCGGTGAAACTTTACTGTTGGGTACCCTGGTTGTGCCCTAATTCAGTCTTATTTCACTATTTATTACAGGTTCTTTAGTGCAGGCTAGTATTATTTGTATCCGTTTGAATTTTTATTATTTTTATTTTAAATATACATATTATATATTTCAGTTAAATTTCGACTGTCTTCTTAATTTCAAACCCCCCCCCCCCCTTCCCAATAAAAGGCAAGAAAAAATCATCAAAAAAATGTAAAATAAAAATTCACGATCAAGCTTGATATGTAATTTAATGTAAAATTCGAAACAAAGGGAAATTTAAAATTTCCATGTTTGCATCTAAATAATGAGATCATTAAACATAGATATTAAGAGAGGAACAAAAATTGAAAAGCATGCATTTAAGGGTTTGAACTCTGCATCACAAAAAAAATGCACTTCTCTAGATTTTAAGTTCATAAATAGGAGTGTGTCAGAGCATTAGCACTTTCAATATTTCTGATAAAATATTTAAAATGCTATTAATTCAATTTAGCAAGGAGGAAAAATGAAACATCAGTAATAAAGCACACTGGTCATGAATTGAAGTTTTGAGAATTAACATTTATTGAAAACAAGGAAAGTTTGAATTAAAGAAAAGAAATGCATGAATAAGAAGAGGCTCTATGGATATTGTTTGTTGGTTTCTGAGAAAAGTACTAATTCTATGAAATGACCAATATGAAACTAGAAAAATACGTACCTACCATAACTATAGTTTTACAAAATTTCCTCTATAAGTTCAATGTTTAAGATATCGTTCATGAAACACTTAAAGAATAAACTCAGAAAATTCCAGGAAAATCTTACGCAAGTTCACAAATTACAAATGGTTAGTTCTTCTGCACTAAAATAAACGTGGCATCAAATTTACAACATTGTGAACTGAAATAAACATGGTTACTACTTCTTTGTTTTCTTTATCGGGAACTATGGTCACTTACTTTTCTTCCTTTTTCGCCCGATGCAAATTCGGTTGTTACTATTTATACGCTTATACTAAATAGTATTTATACTAAATAGTATAAATGTGTAAATAGTGACAACCGAATTTGCATCGGGCGAAAAAGGAAGAAAAGTAAGTGAAATAAACATGTTTTCCGAGCTTCACCGTCCGAAAAATTTGCAGAAGGTACCACTCAGCTTGAGTGTGAGCCAAAATTAATTAATTAGCTTTTATGTTTTTTCTTTCTTTCTTTTTTTAAATGAGCCATTTCTTACAGAAAGAATATTAATGAAAAAAATTACTACAAAAAACAAAAATAACACTCCTTTCAATATTTTTGGTCATGATTTTAACATAGGTAAGATGCTGGAGGGGCACTTTGCTCATTCAATTACAATGGAAAAGCGCCCTTAATGCATTCCTCTTGAGAAAAGGGGCGCAAACGTCCCTCAAATTATGAACCCTTTTTTTCTGAACAGCCCTGAGACCACTTATGAATGTGGCACAAGCTGTTTTTGCTACTGGCAACTGGCCTTCCAGATGTCTGCAAACAATTTTCAAAATTTGGAAAAACTCAAAACGTCTAAGTAACCTAAGTTGTTGCCTAGGTTGTGCATGACAATGGTCCTAGAGCAATCTTTCAAATGGACGGAGTTAAACAGAAAGGAACCAAGCCACATCGGGATCGAACCGAGAAAAAGAGGTTTAAAGTTTGGATCCTGCATAAGACTCAATGTAAAAGATAAACTTCAAGTTTTATTTCTGCAAAATTTGCTCCAACAAAAACTTTGAATTTTTGGCGATAGATAGTAGAGTAGTGGTTGAGTTCAAAACCACTCATAACTCAATTTTTTCCAAAATGTGGGTTGGTTCCTTTCTGCTTAACTCAGTCCAAATCATCCTCATTACAGAACATCCCGTAGTGTAGTATTTATAAACATCATCTTCCGCTACTTTAGACATGGTTCGATTATTTGCTTGCCAATATAATTTTTATCAAATTCTAGTTCACTACACCGTCATTTATTGATAATTATGATTTTTAACCTCTTATTGATAATAAAGTTAGAAAACTATGTAGGTATCATAAAAAAAATAATTTCGCTATAAAATTGGTCAAGTTTTTAAACTGTTTAGGAAAAATAAATGGGCTAGTTTTTTTGGGGGAGGTTTTTTTGGTTTTTTTTAAGTAAGGCCCTCTCCTGGGTCTCAGTTTCGGAAATAAAGCTGTATACTATATGATAAAAAAGTAGATTAATATGTAACAGAAAATTAGCAGGTGCCTGACGTAAGCTGAATTTTATTTAAACTAATGAATGAGCTGGGCACGGGAAAATCCTTGATTTTTGAAAAATTTGAAAATCCTAAAATGGGAAATTGTGGGATAAGTTAAGACACAATGTTCTAATCTGCTGAGATAAATGCGCTTGAATTGAGAGTACTCATCTAGGATGTCATAATTTTTCTTGCTCTTAAATCCATAGTTTTTCAATTTTCCGAGTCAGAATTTCATTTAAAAACACTGCAAACTCAGCTCGTCAAGCACTTTCATTTGGAGCAATAAAATTGTCCCATGCTAATTTTCTATAGTGGACTAATGCACCCAATATGAGTGAATTACAATCATAACATCTATAAGAGATAAATTTGTGGTCCTGACAGTATAGTAAAAACTTAGAGGTCTGAATGTAATAATGAACTTTACCAAATAATGTTCCGTTCCTTATATTTCACACCAAAAAAAAAAAATAAATAAAAAAATAAAAGTTTCAGTGGATACTGAATTTGGGTGCCTAGTCATGGTGAAAGAAGTAAATGATTTGTTACTCATAATAGAATGTACATAGTTCATGCCTCTTGTGGAAAATCAATTTATAAACTGAGATAAGTCATCTAAATGAGAGACATAGATAACAGTTGTTCTCATCTTTGTTCCTCAAAATAATGAAAATTTGGATGAAAAACTTACCTAGATTTAAACTCATTCTGTGAAGAACTAACACATTTCTTCTTTTTCTTATCCTAATCTACATGATTTAGATGGGCAATTTGTACTTGATGAAATTGCAGCATTACATAAATGAATGTGTACATGAAGTGGATACCTGTGCCAGACATACATCGTAACATTGAACAAAGCCTGGCATTGAAATTTTGAAGGAAAGTGTAGGTTCAGTACACACCATACTGTCAGTGCACACGGTACCTTTCTTTAGGATTGGCTGTTGATTGATAGTTGTTCGAAACCAGACAAGTATCATCGGTGAAAGAACATGAACTATCAGCTCACCTTGCGTACCTGCTGGACATTATGAGCTCTAACATTACAAAATTCACTTCGGTGTGAATTCTGTGTCATTTAAACCGTACATATTTTAGGAATCATTGGCTTTCTTTCTGCAGCCTTGTAATCCAGCCACATTACAAAGAAAAAAAGAGAGAAAATTATAAAAACAACATAGAGGATGAATTTAATATCTAAAATGGCAAGCCAAGAGACAGTAATAAAACAAATAAGATAAAATAAAATAAATTTCTTTTCCAGTCTTTTTGAGCCTAGCTCTGTAAAAAATTTAAATTACATACATGATCCTAAACATTTTTTTTTTTCAAACCCTTTTCTAAGACAGAAAACAATTAGTAATAACAATAATATTAAACTTAACTAAACAGATCCATTAATTATAAAGTAAATTATCATCAATTTATGTGCTTTAGAAAAATAATAGATCATTTAAGCTTTAAAGGAATAGATATAGAAAGATAATACAAATGCAAATAGATCACAGTTTGAGGTTTAAACCAACTTGCGCGATTCCTCAAACTTTTGTTTGACATTTAACAACTAAACAGATTTGTAAAAATACTTCTAAACATTGATAATTGATTTCCTTCATGTAGAAACTACCATACATTTAACACAAAGTTACCACAGTGAATAATTTTATTTTTCAGAAATTTTTTAACTTTGATGAAGTGTTACACTTATGAAAAAAGCTTTGCCAGACTAAAAAACTCAAAAGTATGCAACAACAACACGTGCAACGTTTTTTGACAACGTGCACACATCCATTTTTCTTTTAAACGCGCAGTTCTACTTCATCCAATAAGTAAAAATAAAACAAATAACCTCAATATTTTATTCACTAAATCACAGCTGAACTCTAGGTAAATAAATATTGTAAAATTGAAAATCCATCATGGGGTGAAAACGCTTATTGCCAAAAATATTGAATTTTCAACTGGATAATCTTCATTAAATAAGAGGTTTTTTTTTTTTTATCTGTAAGAGACATTTTCCATGCAGCTAAGTTCAGCTGCAATATTCAGTGTATTTGGCCCCAGTTTAACAGAAATGCACCAAGTTTTTCGGGAAACAAGAAATTTGCTTGCATTGTTAGAACTGTTCGGCAAAATTCCAGGGAAACTCCTGTAAAAAACATTTTCATTTGAAAATGTGTGATTTTAATCTACTCCAGCTATGGAGGGAAAAATCGGACATTATGATACGATGCAATTTTTTTTTTTTTTTTTTTTTTTTTTTTTTTTTTTTTTTTTGAGGGGGGCCGTGAAAAAAAACCACTGTTTTATGAACCAACGTTGCCAAATCTATTGCAATATTGCTGGATTCATGGATGGATTGACTGGGGAGGGAGGGAGGGGTGGCGCTTCGGCAAGAAATCCTAAAGGAGATTTTATTGCTGTCCAGTTAATATACATGCAACTTTAAAAAAAGGAGTCCATAAAACAATTTGTGGCAAAGGTTTTGAAAATTAACAAACTTGATTTCAAGTGTAAGTTTCTAAGAAATTACAAAGGTCAAAAGGACACTTATGTTTTTCCGATCATTGATGACATAAGTAGCGTAAAATTAAGCCAAATTTTAAGAATGCTCAAGCCCATGAAAATTGTAAGGGACAGATACACTTATTCCAGTTCTGATTCACAGTGCTTTGAGAATGAGTGAAAGCTAGTTTTTGATGAAAATCGAAATTTCCCAATTTTTTTATGGAGATTTTTCATGGACGAATATGTCTAGTTCTATTTTTTGTATGTGCTTACAAAATTTTTTGTCTTTTACCTAAGTACTTTTTTTAGTCTTACCTACCTCTACCCACCCTCTTAGTTGTTTAAGCAGTCATTTTTCATACGTACCTAGGTATAAGTTTAGTCTAAAAGACTGCAATAATATTTACCTAAGTTTTTTTTAATGTGTTCCTTTTTCGAGCTTAACTTTCTATTTTTTAATTTTAAGTGAAAAATGCATAGGTACCAAAATTGCCTTTCCTCGGATATATTTTGAATTTTGTACCTTCATATGCAAGAAAAGCTCATTCCATAATTGTAACATATTTTCCAAACTGTGTTCTTAAAGTTAAACTGGAACAAGCTTTAGCCACTAATAGTAATTGAGTTTACCCTGGTCTAAGAAATTCACACGTTTGCGCTCTTAAACTTAAAAGTAGCTACCGTACCTATCTACGCGCTTCTCTTGAGTGCCTTCATTTTAAGTTTCAATGTAATCTTTAAATGTGATCTGCAGACCAGTAGTATTGTTATTTAAGGCTTAATTTAGGTAAGCATCTTAATTGTTATGCAAAATTTATCTTTATTGTTCAGCTAAGCGCTTTTTTCCATGTTTTATCATGTTTTTCTACTTAAATTATTCAATTTTTTTGTGTAAATATGTTCATTTCTTTTTTAAAACTCAAATTACTAGCCCATGTTAGCTTTAGGTAAGCTAATATGGGCCTACTATTTAAAAATAATAGGTGGCCCAAGTTACCCAAACTTGAAGGTTGTTGGACTTAGTAAATATTAGTCTATACTACATGTGTAACCTGTGTAGTTTAGGTTGGCAGCCCCTTTTGTTCTTTCTCCGACCAATCAGAAGCTGTCAACAACTAAGCACTTTTTCTTGCTGTGGGGTTGACGTCATGTCCGTGCATCAGGTTGCTCTCCATCAAAATGTAGCACCCAATAAAGGTCTTGTTTTTTTTCTCTACCACCAAAATCAGTTCTTTAAACTTTTCCCTGCGTCCCACTCAATAGTATAAGTTCCTACAAAGGTAACTTGGGCCACCCTACTTTCTTTAAAAAAAAAAAAAATAGTAACAATTTTGAATAGTGGTTTTGGAAGGTCTGGGTGAGACCCTAAATTTGACCTATCATTGATGTAAAAATACTCATCCATCAAAAAGATACACAATGTCAAAGTGGCGCAAGTTAGACCATTTGACGGTAACATGTACAGTTGAGGTAATTTTCAATTTTAAACTTTGTTCCTAGGTAAGCCCTTTCTCCCCCCCCCCCCCCCCCCCCCCCCCCCTCCTCCCAGTGGGAAGTAGCCACTTTGGTTCTATATCCCTTGCTGGTATAGACGTGACAACGATGGTTTATAAAAAACAGTGGTGTTTTCTTCTTCATGTCCCTCGGAAAAAAAAAGGCATCGTGTCATAATGTCCGTTTCTGCCCTCTATACTACAGCATGTTCGTCTGTTTATTTTGAAGCAATAAAATTTTTGCTCCAAAAAGAAGTTTTTTGTTTGTTATTGATGACATGCTTCTGCAGATTCACAGATGTCCGATACTACTTTCATAGAAAAGGGTTAGGTAGATATACAGTTGGTTCTTTTGCAGATTCATCAACGTCTGACATTGAATTCAGAGAATAAACCAAGTCTACAGTTTTTATGGAGAAGTCTACCTAGCCGCTTACAAGTCTACTCCTTGAGTCCAAAAAAAAATTAAATTGGTGCGTTTCTACTAAATTCAGTCTCTTTCATGACGTCATCAAAAAAAAAAAAAAAAATTAGATTGAGAGAGTCTGATGAAAATTGGAATGATCACAAATAGGTCAATAACTTGCAACCACTACAATACTGTAAATCTCAAAAAAAAAATGCTCAAATAATGGTTGAATAGCAATATTTCAAGCAGTTGCTCACAAGAATTTTGTTGATGGTGTTCAGTAGAGAGGAGCCAACATTTCCAGCTTAATTGAGAAAAGGCATGACTACAATTGATTTTTAATGTACTTCTTAATTATGTCCGGCTGAGGAAAAATGCTTTATGAACATTTGAGGGTTGCCAAATTTTCCTGAATAAAATATTTGTTTATAAGGAAAATTATGAATATTTTCTCTTGAAATTTTTAAATAATTTAGACCTGGTTGCAAATTAAATTTTTCGAAAAATTCATGGCAAAATGTTCACAGGTTTCCCTAAAATTCCTATTTTATCAAAGAAAATATAGCTGAAAGCTCTTACGGCGTTCTTCCTAAGCATGCCAGACTTAAGCTAGTCTGTTTTGACGAAATGCAGTTGTTGACAGTGGTTTGGCAGCATTGGCTGTTGAATTTAAAAATAAAAAACGTGAACAAATTGTTGCAATGTGCAAGTGAGAAAACCTGTTTTGCTCTTTTTTAAGTAAAATTAATTTGAAATTTATGTTAAAACAATCAAGGAGGAAAATTGGTATCAAAATTTTGTTGAATTCTATGAATCATTTACATTGATGCTATACATATAATAAACTACAAAGTATGTAGCATAAAAAACTAAAATTTTGTGTAGAATTTATGTAAAATGTTTGTTAAATTGATTAAAAAAAAAGATACAAATCTTGTAAAAGCAAGGTGGTATTTGTATGTGAGAGAGAGAGCAAAAAGGGTTTCTTTACTAGGATATTTTGACAGTTTTGATATGAGATTCCTCTTTGAAATGTGACCTAAACTTTCAATTAAACAGCAAACGCTCTAGGGGTTGTCTTAAATTTAACACTAACATCTGTCACTAATGTAGCTTCCTACATGCTCCCAAAAAAACCATTATTTTCATCTGCGTAAACAAAGGAAAAACTATCAAAATTAACAAACACCCCTTAAAAGACACTGCTGGAAGATATTAGGATGTGTGTCTTCAGCAAGTTTGTAGTCTTGTGGTTAATAAATTTAGATATGTAAATACATCCTTCGAGATCAAAATTTTACTGTAAAGTTTTCAAGAACTGAAAAAATATTACAATCCTATAACTGCAAAGCATCAAAATGAAAGTTCCTTCTTGCCTAGATCAAGAAAATACATTCTTGATGTATTGTTCAGCATTGTCAAAAGTATTGTTCAGATTGAGCAGAGAGTTAGTACAGTTATCTTAAAAGTATATCTTAGTATTTGTTATCAAAAGGAGAAACACTATATTTTCTATCTTGATGGCATGTTTTCTATCTGTAGTGAATATTTCCTGAAAAATTTTCAATCGGAATGTGACAAAAAGTATTGGCTCCTGCCATCTCTTACTCTCTGTAAATTTTTTGTGTAGAAAGAGACCTATTCTGAAGTGCCAACAAAGAGCGCCATATGAGCTTGTGGACGTTGCCCAATTTGGTTCGATAAAACATTAATTTTTGGAGGAATTAAAAATATATTTTTCTCCCGAGTTCTCAGAGAATATTATACATAATTAAATTTAAGTTATCTGAAAATTTCAAGAACAAATAATAATGACACTCCTCAAAAATAAACATCTTATCAAAAGAAATTTGGCAATGTCTGGAGACTCATATTGCGTTCTTTCCTTGGCACGGTAGTATCAATAATTGGTTGTTCAAGGCAAGTTCCTTTACTTATTTTAAAGTATGAACGAAGCAAATTTGTGGGGGCAATAATTTTACAGAGTAGAAAAAGGTGCAGAAAAAAAAAGAGAGGGAAAAATGAGGACTGGGCTTTTTCAGTCGACAAACAGTTTAGAGGCTGAGAAAACAGTGAAAAAATTGCAACAAAGGTTAGAGTATGGTGGAGAGACTATTTACCTTGATGAACAGGGATATTCATTGAGCAGATGAAATATAAAGAAACAACAGAAAAGGTAAGTATCTGGTGCTGGTGAAGAGTGAATAACTTACCAGAGAAAAATCACTAACAGGACAGCCAGAAACACACTGCGTCTGAGTCAAAATATGCAGTTGGATTGAATTTTAATGTGTGCTCCAATTTTTTCTGTGAACATGTTCAGAAAAAAGATGAGCTTCAAAATATATTGATGAGAGGCGAACAACTTGATCATCTTGATACAAATGATATATAAGATTTAGATGTACCAAAGAATTGTTGAGAAGCGCATTTTGAAGAAATCATTTGAGAATGAAAAATTAGTGGTAAATAATTATTGCTTTCCTATCCAAATATGATCAAGACTGGGATCGTTCTGAATATCGATGGCCACAGTGTAAAACAAGGTATCTCCAGTGCGGTGTTTCAAAATATCTTTATTTTATTTTTTCAAAGAGAAAGAGGCCAACTTCATGGCCTGAAAATCTCTAATATCTACAAAATATTCTTCTAACAGAGAAAAGAGTGGAATATCCATTTATTAGCATTCTTTGCAAAATTCATTAACTTGTTAATTGGACAGTGTTTAGCAGTGATTCACAAAGTCGCATCAAGTTCAACGCCAGAAAGAGGTTTGAAGTTTTATTCCTCCACAAGACTCAAAGTTAAGTACAAAGTTTGAAAATTATTTCCAGGCTCAAAATATTTTTCCTCGACTTGGAATTTTTGACAGGAGAAAATTTTCGACTGGTTGAATTCAAAACTACTCTTGACTTATTTTGCTCCAAAATGCAATTTGATATGTTTCTGTTGACCCGGTCTAATTTCGCACATAAGAGCCAATTTAGCTAATACGGTTCATAAGTAATGAGTGATAGCATTGTGATGGATTGAAATAACTTACTATCAACATGAAAATTACTGGCTGAAAAACAGTTCATCTTTATTTCTTGAGAGACGCCGGAACACAACAAAAAAGAATCCTCCGATGATGACTAGTGTCGGGAGACCGAGACCAATCCCGATGATCAAAAGCACCAACATTGAGAAAGACTCAACAGGTGGCTCCCCGATACCGACCAAAAATGACCTGTAGAAAACCATAAGAAAAATTTCAGTTCTCTACACTCAAAAAATGAGTACCAAAATTCATTAGTGAATAGGAAATTAATCCAATTTTGATGTTGTTCTTAATATTTTTACCAAGCAATTATGGTACTTGATTTAGAACCATAGATTGGTCTGAATAAGTATAAGAATTTACTGTATGTTAATTTGAGGAAATGACTTTGGCTGCATTTTATTCGACAATCTTATAAAATGAGTCTCGAAGTAGCTTTTTATAGAATTTCCACACTGCAATTCTTCCTTGCTAAGAAAGAACGCCGTATGAGCCTTCAGGCGTTGCCAAATTTCTTTTGATAAAACACGAATTTCCTGGTAAACTTATGAATATTTTCCTTCCAATTTTTCAGATAATTTTGTTCGCAATTTCACCTGAAGTTCCTAAAAATTTCAAGGAAATATATTCATATATTTCCTCAATTCTAAACATTTTATCAAAGGAAATTCGACAACTCTCGAATGTTCATAAGGCGATCTTCCTTAGCACGGCAGAATTTTCCCCCAGAGTTGCCACAGAATTTAGAAAATAAAATTCCTTGACATTTTCCAGACACATTTTGGTGAAATTCCCTGACAATTGAAGAAACACTAGATGGTTAAAAAGACACGAATAGAAATAGTTTTCAAAAAAGCAAAAAAAAAGGTGACCTAACAAATTTTTCCCTGACACTTCCAGGTTTTCCCTGACTTTTCAAAATTCCCTGATATTTCCCAGTATTCCCTGACTGTGGCAACCCTCTTTTACAGATTTTCAACACTACAATTTTCCATTATTATGTTGTCCCAATTATGTCCCAATTTATGTTCCATTATTGTGTTTGACATTATTATAACCAAACAATTAGTCTGACAAGGTCGAATGAGCGGGATAACAGCAGAGGTAAAGCTGCCAAAAAAGATGCTTGATTTGGTTTCTCGGAGAAGCAGTCAAAGAGGGTGCCCATTGCCCAGTGAAAGGATGGTGACATGGAGTTGAAAAAAAATGAGGGAGTACCAACTCCCAGAAAGGCTTTTTGAGTTTTTGAGGACTGAAGTCTCCAACAGTTAGGAGTCGCAGAGTGCCAGAGAGTGCTATATGTATAATGGTGGTCTGGAAAAATAAACTGGTGGTCTTGGTAAATACTAGATATTGTATCCTAAAAATTTCTAACAAATAATTTACAAGGTTAAATGTTAAGAGCTAGGTATTATTTTGGAAATTGCATAATTTACCATGATAAGTATCCTGATTTCCTGTAAAACCCATCAAGTTTAAAACCAAATGAAACATTCATCGCTCTAACTGCCAATTGTGAAATGTTCTTCTCAAAAAACACAAAAGGAAGGGAGTTGTTCAGGAAGTTTTCTTGCTCTGCAGTTATGTTCTCCACATGGTAATGAACGGTGTCGGTGGAGTTAGCATAATCTCGATCATTGAATGTGTAAACTAGCGGCCGCCACTGGAGATAACCCCCAACGTTACCTTTCTTTGAATTTTCTGTTTGCAACTCAATCACCTGAAAACAAACGAACGATTATCTTGGATATACAGCACTGACATTCAATTTCCGTAACATATTTTCACCTCAGTTAAAGATTACCATTGCAGTACTGAACAAGAACCAATAAAATATTATAAAAATAGATTTAACATTTAAAAAAAAATAATAATAACAATGAAAAACCAGGTTTAAAATAAATTAAAAAAGAACAAAAAAAAAAATAAAGTTGGTAAAGTTAAATAGAACCTCTATTAAAACTTGTGAATTACAGAAATAGTTACCGTAAAAACTCCAGGAGAGTGCTCATCATCCAAACTTTTCTTTGACTTGAGCTCTAAGTCCGAGTTCTCAGTTTCTGAAGAGACAAATGCCAGCTCCACTGCAAATCGTGAATTAGGGTAGGCTGTAGTGAAATGATCAATTGTCATGTCTATTTGAGTTGAGTTGGCAGTGTGCAGCAAATGAGGCAAATCAATCCCATGGTCCTTGGATGGAAACATACTCACCTGGAACAATGAATGAAGAGGAAATGCAGTCATGTGGTTGTCAAGTTTATAAATGTTATATTATTCGGACAGTATGTTGTTTTGCCCATCACTTGGAAAATGGATTGAAGTACGTTACAATTTGCATATTCTTATACCTGTTTAAGAGCTCACACTTCTCTAGTAGATGAATCGGGGAGAAAATCATGATTCGACAAATACCGTCCTTGCTTAAACTGAGGACAGCAGGCAAAAGATTCTAGAGTCACCATTCGCAGACAGCCTGGCTGCCTCAGCCAATAGAGGCAGAGGCTAAAAGTGCAAGTATCCAATGCCCTTTTTCTTAATGACTTCTTGATATAAATTACAAGAAAATGAAATTAAATTAAATTGGTATTGGATCAGGAAAGTCACTGAAAATTCAAAAGTAAAGATAACTGAGGGGAATACTTACAAGAAATGATATGGTGCCATTTTTAACTATGTCCTCGGATGAATATCCATTAGCAGTCACCTCAAAATTCACAGTCCCTGAGTCCGGATTCTGATAAAAAGATTTGACTCTCCATTTAAAATTATCTGCACTCAGAATTAATGTTTCTTTGGAGGTTTCATTCATAAAACCTGTGTCACCGATGTCATTGAACTCAATGATCTGCAAAAAAAAATAAAAATCATGAGAAAAATGTTTGCTTCAGCTGGGTTTTGTAATTGACACTTGCTGGCTTTGACAACATTCTTTTAATACTTAGAATGCTACATGGAAAATTACAAGCAATCAGGGAAAACCCTTCAACTTCCATGCAATGCAATTAAAATATTATGGTGGGGAAACACATAATATCCATTCTTGGCTAAACTAAGTAACTTCCCATTAGCAGCCTATTATTTATACCTACTTAAAAGGCAATTAAAAAAAAAAGAGAAAAAAAAAACAGAGAAAAAGAGGAAGGATATCTGAGCGATGATCAAAAAGCAAGTGCATACACTAAACATCAGATTATCTGGACTCCAAATAGTGCAAACTAACCAGTGGAGGGACTGATTCTTTTTTTTACCCATTGTTTTCATATTTTTACTCTCCAAAGAATCGGCTAAAATTGTTCTAGCGGACTTAGGAGTTGGGAAAAGTATTGTCAAATTTTGTTAATTATATTTTATGATACATTTCATTTGTAAATATTTAATACACCATTTTTTTAAAAAATTGTGTTTATTTCAGAATGTATCATAAATGCAGAGTGTCAAATTAAGCTAGTCATAATGAAAGCTGCATTATCTGAGCTTTTCGGTGTCCAAACCAGCCTACCGCTATATCAGTTTGACTTACCCGAGGAATCGTGCACTTGCAAACTAAAATTTACCAATAAGTCAGAGAATGCAAGTATACCTTGTTGATCACCAATCCAAATGCATAACTGATGGGTGAGGTCAATCGAATAGAATCAGCAGACCCATTCACGAAATCAGGCCAAGTTATGGAGAGATTCGAATCTTTTGTGGATTCAAGAAGGAGTAGAGACGGTTTATGGTCAGAGTTCCACAGGTAATGGAGGGAGTCATTTCGCCCGAGAGCCTTGACATACAGTAATGAGTAGTCTGAACAATTCAAAGAAGGACTCGAGCTGCAATTCGGATTGGAGAAAAATTCGAGCTGAAAAAATAATTATTGAAACCATGAGACTGATAAATAAAAAAAATTATATGTTACAACCCACAAAATTGGCACACTCGTACTTTTAGCTATGTAACAGACAAAAAATCTATTCAAAATGCAGCAAAGTCGGGAGTACGATAAGTTTCAAAGAGGGAATATCTAAAACAGTTCATGGATTAAAATTATAAAAAATCTTGAGGCGTTTGGACCAAAGGGTTTTCAAATTTTGTGTGCGTAAAATTTTCGGCTCAACCATAGGAAGGTAATTAGAGAGCATAAGAGCAAAAGATGGAATCATAGCTTAGAATCTGAGGTTTGTTACCTAAAGCTTTATTCACAAGGTCGCAAATTATCAGTTGACTTTACATTAGAGAATGTGAATGAAAGGAACAGGGAACACAGTTTTTTTAATTTTTGAGATACTTAGCTATGATAAATATTATTACTTAAATTAAATTTGTAATCATTTGGAAAGATTGGGCATTCTCAAGACAACCCAAAGATAGAGAGAAAGATACTCAGAATCAAAATGCAGGTACACAAGGGTGGTTTCATGGTAACTGGAATAGTTTTGTCACCGTAACAGACAACACATTTTTTGGTCATATTTTTAGAAGTAACGATAATCACTCAAATTTGTTTGCATTAATCTACCTAGGATTACGTAGCTCTACTTTTCAATTTTAATATGTAAATAAATGGCCAAAAATGTGCTGTCTGTTGCACTGACTTTTTACCGCATAACAGACAGCACATTTTCAGAATTTACACAATATTAATTGAGAAGTAGAGCAATAAATCATTAGAAAGTGTTATACTACATAATCCTTTGAAGATTAATGCGAAAAAATTCGAGTGATTATCATTTCTACTAAAAATATGACCGAAAAATGTGTTGTCTGTTACAGCGACAAAACTGAGTATTCCAATTATCGTGAAACCACCCGCAAGCAGTACCATTAGCATACAAAGTTCATATACTGAGAGTGAGCATAAATTTTGTACTTGAGAAACAGATTCAAATGCTAAGTGGGTATTGGAAAATCTCTCTACGGAATGGCATGTATACTTAAAGGTTTCCTGCGTAAATTAAAAGTACAAAAGGAGCAAGTTGCTAATGTGTACTATGTGTACTATACAACTATGTGTTCATCTTGAGTATCCAACAAAATGAATTTTTATTTTCTTTTTGGCCCTATGTTGAGGCTTTGGCCTTGGTGCTACGACACTAACAGCCACTGACATGGAACCGTTTGTCGGTAGATGACTTGCTTCTTGCTTATTAGTGGCAAAAGACACTGGAACGGAGAGTTTTTTTGTGAAGTTCATGTGTCCAATAAAGATGTGCAGGTGGTAAGATTAAAAGAACACTTTGTTGGCGCAAATAGCGGAATAAACTCACCTCTCTGTCAAAGAAAGCAGTTACTACTGGGACCAAACCAGTGGTTAAGAGAGTTAAAATAATGGAGTCCATGGTCCAAATCTATTTTTGAATACGACGACACTAATTACAAATTCTTAACCATGAATGTGAGGAGCGCAAGCAGCAAGAAATCAAGAGAGTGGGTACACTGACACAATGGAGGGAGAGAATGATCCCATTCAGGAAATAAAATGCACAGTAGAATACGATTAAAACCACATGGACTGAAGAGCTTTCAAAACTGAAAAGGTTCGCGCATTGTCTCAATTAATGGAATCGATTTCAAGTGCACTCTATCCATTTTAGGTGCCCCAAAAGCAAAATCCAAGGACCCAAAAGTAAACAATGGTGAAACCAAAATGATAAGAGATAAAGTCGGTCGGTGTAGAGGGGAATCGGCGGCCCATTCCGCATTGAAGAATGAGGGTAGAAAAAGGAGCTGACGTGACTCAGAGGACTCACATCATGGACTGTAGACCATCATCTTCAAGTCGAAATAATAATTTATTATGCATCAAAATCCAAAATGCATTAATATTTTCTAATTATTCTTCTAAATTATATTTAAAAGGTCACTCTTTTAAGTGATTATTATTCTTTATTTTGTACTAGAGAATATTTTTAAGCATCAATACATTGTAAAGCGGGTTGCTTACTCATTGATTCTTGAAGGCGCTTTTCGTACAAACAAGAGAAGGCTCGGTTTCTTTCTCAGATTGTTTCTTACGTTTTGAGGTTATAATCATTGTTGCAGTTGAGTTAGTAGAGTTTTATTCCTACAATCCTACATTTTTCCTTCAGCCTGTGGTTTTAGTCGTTTAATTTTACATTATCCAATTGAAACCAAAGTATTCATCTCAGTTCCACCGTTTTATGACTATTTGTGTCGCGTTTTCTTGATTTTCTACTTTCAAGCCCCGTCTACAAAACACAATTTATCAGGTACACATACCTAAGTGTTTTTTATGCTCTCTATGGTTCTCCTGCCTTGAACTACCATAAGTAATGGGAATGCATCATTTTTGTTGCATATTTTGAGTTTATACGCATCAAAACTCAAATGATGATCAATTGTCAATGTATCATAATTTTTTTTTCTTTTAATTCTGCTGTCCTTGCATGTAGTTTTACACTACAACCAAGTTTTACACATCTAACTGTATGAATTAATTACATATGAAGTACATAATTCTGCCAAAATATTTTAGCAGCTTAGAAATTCCCTCAATATGTCACCTATCTTAAGTGCTTGTGTAGAGCAGAATTCAGATAAAATTACTTTTCTCATCTGCTTTTTTCAGTTCAACACAGCACTTCTCAGAGAATTTAAACACCAAAAAAATACCGCTCTCCCCCACTTTGATATTTTTTGTTAAAGATTTCTTTGTCATTGAGATTGAGATTATGATCTGAATATTTTACTTAGTTCTACCAATAATATTCCCTACCCAATCACTGCCAGCTTTTCGTTCAATATTTTTTTTTTCCTGCAGCAAGAATCCCTCCGAGCTTCTATACTGAAGCAAGAATGAAATTGATTCTTCTAATAATTATTTTTCTGATACACTCTGATGATTTGTTTCAGATGACATTGATACCAAATATCTAGATAGAACATGGTGAGCACACCTGGGCGGAAACAAGGCAAAAATGGAAGGAACTTGAAAGCGATTCGTCTTGAAAAGCGGCGCAGGTGTGAGAAATATCTCAAGGAATTGCTGGCAAAAAAGGGGAAACGTGAGTATACATTGCACCCAAAAACACCTCAAGAATATGAGTATGAATATGAGCCTGACCTTCCGTGCTCAGCTTGGCAAGACTACTTAAACTGTTTCTATGAAGAGAGTGAATCCGACCAAAGTATTAAAAATCACATCGATGAGAAGAGTAATGAAACTACAGTTTCAAAATCACAAGACTTTGATACCCCTGCAAAGGTAAAGTACAATCAATACGAAAAATTGTTAGTAGCTGACAATGGGGTCAAAATCAAAGAAGAAAAGCTTGATTGTGTAAAGTTGAGTCCAAATATCCCTGAAGATACCTCAGAGATAGAAGAAACTGATTTTGAATGGAGCGATAGTGAAATTAACAACTTATTCACTACTGTAAAGCAAATTGATGAAAGTGACTCTAAAGAGGAAGATGAAGAAGATGATGAAGATCCGATAATGGAAGAGGATCTTGCATTCAATTTTAAACACTCGAAACGGAAAAAATTTGAGTACAGATCTTATCTCTCACCGTTTGAGGTGAAATTTGTCTTAAATGAGACAGCGAATCCAAAAAAATCATGTCGTACTGATCTGAGGAGTAATAATCTTGGAGTTGAATGCAAGAGCTACTATCAGAAGCATCGACGAAAAAAGAATCTTGGCCCACGACCTTTTCAGTGCTCCTTGTGTGGTGCCAGATTCATGACAAAGAGTAACCTGAAGGCACACAGCGAAATTGTCCACTCGGAAGAGAGGAATCATGAGTGTGAAGACTGTGGTTTAAAGTTTAAGACCAAATATCATCTCAAAACACATTGTATGAATATTCACAGAAAATATAAATCTCTGACCGCTGCAACCAATGAGAACCGCTACCCTAAAAGAGAGCGAATGAAGGTCTCAGAAAAACTCAGCTTAACCTGTTCTTTGTGTGGTGTGGTTTTGAATAATCGAAGACTGCTCAATATGCACATGGTTGTTGCTCATACTAAAAAGTGCCCAAAAAATTCAAATATGAAAAGTCATCAATCTACTGGGAAACCAAATTCAAGTCGTAGGGCTTACAATTTGCGCGAAACGGTTGATTACAATCAGCCTGTGAAAAGAATTGTGAGACGACCACCCTCGCCTTCTGAAGAAATTAGAATCTTCGACTGCAATGACTGCTCCGCTTTTTACAGTAGTAAGTGCCTTTTGAAAAATCATATACTGGAAAATCACTTGTTTTATCACTGCGAAGTCTTTAATTGTGGCCTTGTGTTCAAAAAGAAAGCTAATCTACAACGCCATAATCACCGTGTTCACTCAAAAATAACTCTAAATGAGAAAGTGGCCCGCAAGAAAATGAAAAAGAAGAACTTTCATCATCGTCGGGGACGACCGAAATCTAGCACCACAGCCTCTGCTCCTAAGTTTGAGTGTGATTATTGTAAAGTTAAATTTGCCTATAAAAAAGTTCTTTTGCGGCATATTCTTCAATATCACCCTTCAGAATCGGAGAGCAACAATTCGAATGTTTCTTATACCTCAAATTTTACTCCCAAAATCAAACGGCAAACCCCTGGTCGGCCACTCGATCCCACCATTTCTCAAAGAAGGCACAAGTGCAACAAGTGTCCCATGGCTTTCAAAACTCGCTCTCATTTGCAAGCCCATGACCTGCAAAGGCACTCTGAAGAACGAAGGTTTGTTTGTCCTTTTTGCAACGCTAAATTCAAAATGAATGGGATTCTCAAAACTCATATGCTTCGTCTGCATGGCTCCTAAGTATTTTTTTGTATATATCTAGTAAAATTATTTTAGTCGAATTTTATTTTACACAGCTGAGTTTCTCTGTTTTTTATTTTGTACTTTTTAAGTGATTTAATTCTTTTATATTACCGTATCCTACATAAATCATTCTGAGTATTACGTAATCTACACTTATCCTACTTTTATCAGACAAAGATCTAAACATCTGCAAAAGGAAATACTACCGAGTTGAAGAGAGTCAAACAAGGAGAAAATAGAATTGCCTGTAAAGTTTCTTGAATTAAGCTCTAGATTTTCATGGAAATTTCCACACACTCCTACATGTTTGTAATGAGCACTGCAAGCAATTTTTTAGTTTTTTTTCGGTCCATTCGTCTTTTCTGTTTTTTCTTTTTTTATGTGTGTGTGAATGCTCAGGTTCAGTAACCAAAGGAAATAATGGAGAACATATAGTGGATCCTACTTCTTTGATGAATCGACTTCTTTGACTTTATTTGGCTCTCTAAATTAAAATTACCACTGTTCTCCTCCAAAAAGAGGCTCCTCTCCAGGGGGAAAGATGAAAATTTCAAAGAATATCCATTCTTACCAAGTTTTGTGAAAGTAATCTTATCTTCCTATCTTGATTTTTCACCCAAGTAGGAAAAGTTGCCTTTAAAATGGAAGAGGAACTCGATTCTCTCTCTGTTCAGATACAATTTCTTTTTTAACTTTTTATTAATTGACAGATTTTTTTTTTTTTTTTTATCATGCCTATTAAGGCTCAAACATTTACGAAAAATCTGTTGTCCAGAAGCACTCGGATCACCCAGAACGCAAGGTCTCTTAATAGTTTCTTACAAACCATGACTGCTAACAAAAAATCAGTTTTATGTTTGTCCATATAAGTTGTGTTGCATGCTTTTTTGCGAGGTGTAATATACTCTGGTCATGCGTGGAGCTGGTTCCTTTAAAAGATGAATAAGTATCAGTCATCAGGGTTTCTCCCATGAATTTTGCAAGAAACTTAGTGGTGCCAGTAATTCAATTCACTAACCACTTCCTAAATCACAAAAAAAGCCATCAAGTTCACTGTTTGGTAGCCCCAGACTAAATTACTGTGTTCAAGTTTATCTTAATAATGAACATAATCATTCATGCAGACTATAGGAAAGACAAATGGAGAAAGGACCCAGTACATGAGCCAGATTACCATGTTGCATGATGAAATAGTTCAGGTTTTACAATGAGCAACTCTTAAAATTTTCCTGTAAAGTGATTCTGCTGCACTGATCAAGAGTGTAGAAAATGCCTGAGCGCATAAACTGAGGCTGGGGCGTGATTTTTTTTTTCATTTTTTCTATGGATTTTTTTTATAAATAAGTGGAAAAACTGGGAAACGTGTTACTTTTTGAAGTATTTGGTGCAATATGTGCTTTTGATCTTTTTTGCAGAATAATACAATTTTGAAACTGAGATCGTGATTAATTTATGACCTAAAGAACTTTCTGCATCCTTAAATTTGATCAGCAACAAGTGAGGAGGACATGATGTTTTATGAAAGTGAACTCTCTTACTTACTTTAATATTTCGGTATTAAATCCACTCTCAGTGGCTCTATTGAGCTCTCAAGTGCACCTTATTTTTACTGTCTTTCGACGTAACATTATTTTTACTAGCTAATTGAAAATAATATTTCTTGCAAAAATTTTTAAAGGGTAGATTGGTTGATCCTCCGAAATTTTGACACTTCATACAGCTTACTCTCAATATCCGTTTTTCTAATAGGTTTAGTAAGTAAGTCGTCTTCATAAAAGTTCCTTGATCATGAATTTTATCAATCTATGAAAAGAATTTAAACTCATGTTTTATTTTAAGTACTTCAACTTTTAACAAAATTTTAAGCAATCAAAAATTTACTTATAGCCCTAACTGTAAATATTTCTCAAGACACTGAAATGTTAGAAGCTATTCAGCTGTTCCTCGAATTTGTAGAAGATTGTAAACTTGTGGGTAGTTCGATGAGTACTGTAAAAGTTTGTTTTGTCGGACTACGGTCAAAGCAAAAATATGTTTAAGGCTTGCTACTATTGCATATTGTCACTTGCACATTGGTCCATGTTAAAAACAGTAAGGCAAACGCTGTTCATAATTTCGATCAACTTAAAATTCTGCTGAGCCAAAAAATAATTTTAGAACGCCATCTCAAAGTTTATTAAAATTTAATATTCAATCTAAGGCAAAGTGGCAAAGGCATGGCGCTATCATCAAGTATCTGTTAATTTCATAACGTAAAACCATGATCATTTTGGTAAACATTTTTCCTCAAATTTTTTTCGATCATAATTTCAACACATGAGGCATTGAAAATTTTAAAAGAATGTTTTCCTGCCTAAGTCATGTCTATTTCTCAGTACCTTGACATTTTTTTGTAACAAGTTTTTACCATCTACCTACAAGTAAAGGACAAGGCCCCTCAAATTGTAGATAGGATAAGTCAACCATCTAGATGTGTTCAAAAGACGGAAATACCTATGTATGAAATAATAATCGTGACTGAATTATTCCGTTCACCGATTTTCTCTTAATCATCGCTTTTTTAACCCTGTTAAAACTTGCCAATCAAGGAAGCCGTGAAGGAGTGGAGCAACTGTATTTTACTTACTTCCATAATATCTTACAACTCCTCTAGGATTCTTTTTGTCTCCGATCTCTGCTCTCTCGCTCTGCCTTAATCATTTCTCTTTTTTTTTTTTTTACATCGGATGTATTTTTAAGTAAGAACGGGATTGAAAATAAAAAGGTTTTTTGGTTTTTCAAATCATAAGTTTGTTGAAATATATTATTTTTATTTTCATTTCCCTGTGTTTCAACTCATTATTTGTATCAGCTCTGAATTTGAACCAAGGACATTAAAATCAATAAATAAGACATCCCTTAATTTCAAGAATTTGATATATATATTTTAATAGTTCAGAATCCAGAAAGTGCCAACTATTATTTTCTTCCCCCTTTCAATTTGTCGCAGACAAATAGTCAAATCAGGCATTGTATCAAACAAATACCTAGGCAGATAGTCAAATTTTGATGGTTTACAAAGTCTTGTACGTTTTTGATGAAGATCTTTGGAGTTTACAATGTTTTGAATGTGAGAATTCATCAATTTCATGCTTTTCTCTAATATTTTTCTCTCCAAATTATATATTTTATCCATCGACGGTTTAAAAAAATCTTTATTTTATGGCATGCTGAAAATCTCAAGATAAAAGCTCGTTTAAGGACTAGATCTAATTTATTTACAATTGTATGGTGCAAATTTTTGCAAAACGTCTCTTCTAGATGAGCAGAAAATTATTTTGTCTAAAATAAAATGAGCTAAAGAATCAGAAATTTATTGTAAGTAAAAACATTTGACTATTTGCCTGCCACATATGAATTAATTTTTTTCTAAAAAAAAAAAAAAAAAAATCAGGACTTCATGCTGACAATTTATTCAGTCAAATACTCATGGGTTATTGAACCCTGCAGAATCTCAAATGAATGATAAAAATTAAAAAAAATTAAAAATGATAAAATTTTCACCCCCTCCCAAAAAACACCTCCACGAAAAAGCTGTGCTTGGTACACTTTAGTTTCTGGTGCTGTTATCTGACCCCATAGTCTCCTGATAGTTTTTCACTAAACAGGATGATAGGAAGGATACTAACAATAATTCACGACCAGAAACATTGGGGGAGCATCTTTATTTTACAAATTACTATCCTTAAACAGAACGACCTGTTACAAGCCCTCTAGAAAGGACAGCGGAAGACAAAGTGAGAAAATAAAATAACCTGGAATCTTCTCTTCGACCCTCTAGGTTTGGTGTTTTTACATTTTAAAGTATCAAAATTTTTCGAATTTTAAAATTCATCATAATATCCAACGATCTAGACATAGCTGAGATAAGACAAGTATATTTGAAACTGAGCTTCAACATCACAGCCTGTTGACGAGACTTCACTCTGATTATTTACACGAATAATAGCAACCTCATGATGACTTTGATTGGTAGTCGAGATTTTGGAAAACAAACTGTGCGATAGGTTCACTTAGATGAAAACTGAAAAGCTGTGGTTTCTTTGATAATCAAGGTCTCAGCGGTAAATGTTGCACTTATCCTTCAAAGATTGAACTGATTAGGAAAACTAATTTTTGGTTAGAGGTTGATTCCAGTTTTTTGTACTCAAACAAAAAGAAAATAAAGGGAAATAATCTTATTAAGAACTATGTACCTTCTTCATGCCAATTACTATTGACAGCCAAACTAATCAAAACAACATGCACTGAACATCCTCCCTAAACTGGGCACAGACTTCAAAAAAAGGCAAAGCCTTTCACCAATCCAATAAAAATAAATACGCTTGACAGTGATAAAATTTCATACTACTCAAATCCATTCAGTATAATATTCTCATTATTTAGTTCATGCGAAATTGTAATCTTCAGACTGATTTAGGGGCTACTTCATTCAATAAATTGCTTTTAAATTGTGTTGCCCTTCAGAGGCGCAGCGAAGCAACTGATATCAAAATAATCCATTTGTTTCGGAAATTAAATGTACCGAATATTAAATGACATAGTCAAAAAGTTAGTTTATTTTAGAGGGAAACATTGAATATTTTATAACCACAGATCAGTGGACAATGATTGAATAATTTTAATAACCATCGATTAGAGGATAATGATTTTTAAAGGTAAAAGATACTATATGCTATAATAAACAATGAGTTCTCACAAACAAATATAAACTAAGTTTGCATAGGTAGCTCACACTTAGCTGCGAGAGATTAGGAATAGGATCAAATGCTTCTGCATTTAAAATCAAGCTGAGGAGAACAATCAGTCGGTACTGCTAAGGGGTGCAAAGAAGTTTTTTCATATGATACGGAGCACCATTGCTTAAAAAGAAACAAAATGAAAAAAAACCTGCAAGATTTCTACATCCCAATCTTCAATTGGATAACTTTCACCGACTTAGAAAGGGAAAATTATTCTAATATTAACTTCTCCTGATAAATTCTCTTGAAAGTAGACCCACAGGATTTTTTTGACGGTGACAAAAAAATTTTAAAAAAAATTACGTCCAATTCATCCTTTCACTGTACATTTCCAGATTCAATAAGCAATTTTTAAGACTTTACCTTGCTCTACACTGGAATACAGTGGTTAATATCCCTTTGGATATGAGGGCCTAAGGGTGTTTACAAATTTAGGATTCCGATTGAATTGATTCAAGAGAACTTGCAATGGTGAAAGTAATTATTCTCTACTAGACAGTGAGCATTCTTTTTTTCTACCTTTTATGTTTTCCAATATCTGAGTCAATAAAGATCCCCACCAAAAAACAGGATGAATTAAACATTTGAAATCACAGAGCTAAACTTATTTTTGAGTTAGTGTTCCAAAGTGACACCTTGAGAACATTAATATTATAAAGTACGGTCAGGATAGACCTTCAAGTATTACCCTTGTATTCATGTTATAAAACAATGATTTGATGAGATTATCTTAGCCGCTTTCTACTTCAGTATCATCATCTGTGTCCAGACCTATATCAATATCAATCTGAGAGTGAAAATCTGAGAGATAATCACGCAAAGCACCCAGAAATGATGTCACACTTTGAGTCAGCTCAGTGACATTGGTTCCAAGCTCAACATCCCTGAAAAAAAGCAAACGCAATGAATGTAATATTTGGTATCAAACTTTAAGAATTTACTTTAAAATTCTTGAAAGTAAGTAGAGAATAACAGACAGCTTTTGTAATCAAACGTAAACATCAATGGATCTGTCATTTGTAAGAGATACAACCCAGTGAATCAATTTCTTCTCACAGGTAAAAACGGACGAAAATTAGAATGGACGTAAAAAAAAAAAGCCCGAGATCTCATCCTCAGCGTATAATCTCCATAGTTTGTGACATACTTTTGCCCTGGGTTCACAAGTAGTTTTTCTCAGTGGCCAGCAATAAGGATTGCTCAAAGAGAAGCCCAAGAGAGCTTGATCTAATAAATAAGCAAACAATCTTGTGAACTGTTGCAAACATCCCTTATGAATAATTCCAATTGGTTTACAAAGCAAAACAGAGAAATAAGGAGGAAATAAACACCTAAAATCAGTTGAAATCATACGTAAAAAAAGCTTGCAAGATTTTCTGTACATTTAAAGTTAACTTTCTTACATTTCTACACAGGCAAACCTGGTTGCCAGCAACTGAGAAAAACTGCCCGTAGATGTGGGAAATTTGAAAAAGTACGTTCCAAATAATGCAACTATGCTCTCTAAAGAGTGGATTCCAGATTTCTTTGATGCCCATTGAACTTTTTGTGAAATTCACTTGCAGGAATTAGATTCACCTGGCTGTTCTTTTGCATACAACCAACCCACTATAAAAAAATGTTATAACATCAATATACTCTATATGAAATTTGATAGGTTTAATAACTTCCAGCAACGAACAGACTACATTTAGTCATGAGAAACTGCTATTTCTGGCTCATTTTGGAAACAACATACAAGCCATCGGGTTGCCTTTGCAGATGGATGGTTTTATAGATGAATGAAGAAAAGCAGTTCCTTGTTGCAGAATGAAGTCCAAATGTGGATTGCATCTAACCGAACTTGCCTCTGATTTTTAAAATTGAAGTTATTCCTCAAACCCCACTTTACAAAGGAGGGATTTTCTACTAGCTCAAGCCCAGTGAGTGCAAGTTCCCTGATGCTAAAACTCTACAAACGAGCAAGCTAAGGAGGAGACATTAAAAAAATCGCCACAAATGAAAAAAAAAATTTTCTTCGTGTCCTCAATGGAGAATTTGCATGTGACTAAAATTCTGCTTTCATGTTTAAATGACACTACTTAAAGAAGTAAGTACAAGGATATCCTTGGTTTCTAAATTGAACAATTATTGGCGGAAATATGAAAAAATAACCTAGTCTACTAAAATGCATGTGTTTAAATGGAAAATGCCGCCAGATGACCTCACAAGGCAGCACATTTTCTCACTGTTAAAACTATTTTTCCACAATTGAGGATTTTAGAAACAAATTATGAAAAAAACAGCAAACCAGCTCATTAAGCACTCTCAGGTGAGGCAATAAACTTTTCTGGAGCATATTCTCCATTTCTAATCATTTTATTCAGAAAGTTTTCACAAACTTATATTTTTAATGGAGGTGACAATTCTATAGACCAGCTATTCAACAGGGAATTCTACTTCTGCCTATCAGCAAGTTCAACTTGTTTTCATTAAATTTGTATTTGAATTCGTTTTAAAATTATGGATGGACTGAAAGTGCATGTGAGACTGGACTGACCTTGCTATGGCTTGTCCAGCTGGCTCATTGATGTCATAATTTGGCATGAGAGAACGGAAAAATGCAGAGAATGCATTGGCATTTTCCATGTTGAGCGTAGGGCGATTTGGCCTATGATAGATGGTAGTTCCTCCTGGGGGAGGTAATGGATCGAAACTGTAAAGTGGCCCGTGACAGTCCTGATTAAAAAGAGAGAAGCAAAAGTAATTAAAAAAGTTCTGAGAGTATGGAGACAGATCAAAATCCTTAAATTATGCCGGGTCATTTTTTTAGAGTCTACACAGGATAAGTTTATGTGCTTCTAAAGTGCAACAGAGGATCCGCCAAATTGATTCTTGCATTTACTTTAAGTGCTGACCTGAAAATCGCTGATCTTCTGTCACGCTCTAAAAGTGCATAAACTTAATCGGCAAAAAATCTATAAATACATAACGATACAAGTAAAATCGATTTTTTAGACCACAATATAGGCTTTTAGACAAGGTATGAATTACAACTCATAACATAATTAATTAGGTACAACATAACTTCTCATTAAGATTTTGTTACGAAAAACTAATCACATTATGGGAAGTCAATCCACTCTTACACAAGATATAAGTCTTCACAATTAATGATGATTAAATGACAAAAATACTGATGGCATCATTAGTAAGATCTAACTTTTGTTCCATATGTGTTGAAACAATTTGTTAATATCTTGTTCAAGAGTTCATTTCCAAACTTCCAATTGTGTGATTTGTTTTCTACGACAGATTTTGAAGAGAAAACACTTGACTTTCTTTCTGGTTGAGACCTTGTCTAAGGGCCCATTCTAGTTGTGATGAACTTCTCTCCGACAACTGATCTGACAAAATGATAAATGTTCAAGCTCAACTGTTTCTGCATGAAATGTTAAGAGATTGATGTATACAACTGACTGGTGTAGCCTTAGGTTTGTTGCCTTCAAAGAGTTGGGACTGACAGATAGAACTCTAAATGAATTGAAATAAATACTTACAGCAGTGACTGATCAACTTTTTGTTAAGTTTCTTCAGATGAAAGCAACTGGTAAAGGAAGGTGGTTAGTACTTACCAATAGATTGATGGGTACTTCTTTCAAATCAGACAAAATTAAATGACGCAGAATATTCCGAGGGGTTGCAGCCTTGTACCAAGTTTCTACTTTACTTCGTAAGTCTCCAACTTCTGAGTCTTCTTCATCAACTCTTCCTAGAACTGCATGGGCATTGCTTTCAAGCCATGCTAACAAGTCAGGATCCCGCCAAATGTGATGGCACCGTGTCACATAAAGAGCTTCTAACTGTTTCAGAGATGTGCTGGTCCTGAAAATAAAAATCATAAGTGTGTTACCTGAACGAGCAGAAATGAAGTAGAGCAGTAATAAAATGAGGGTGGTTTTTTTTGCTAATGGACCAATAGACAAGGTACGAATTTAAGCATTCTAATACATGTCTCTTGACCAGAATTTCACGTAGAACACGATTCGCGCAACGAAAATTACCGAAATTAACTCCTAACGAAGATATTAACGTTTATATTTCACATTGGTCACTAGGAGTTTGAACTGCCCGCTCACAAGAAACTCAAAGCTCTACGTGATCTAGCTCTACTAATCGTGCACTAGAACGGTTCCAGCAAACTTCTCCATCAAGCAATGTTCATTTACCACCATGTGCTGTACAAACTATAAACAACTTGCAATAGCTGAGCTAAAGCGTCAAGATTAAGGTTGCCAGATTTTTATATTGCAGAGACTGTCATGATAACGTTTAGCGCGCGATGTGAGTCACGTAGAGCATTGAGTTTTCATGAGCGGGTGGTTTGAATTCACGCATCAAGAATCATTAAATATCTTCATAACGAGTTGATTTCGGTAATTTCCGTTGTGCGCATCGTTTTCTACGTGAAATTCTGGTCAATAAACATGTATTAGAATGCTTAAATTCGTACCTTGTCCATTGGTCCATTCTGAAGCCCTCACAAATGTTACTTCTAGGTAGATTGTTTTGAATTGAATGCCAGAAACTTCATGGATCAATGTTTTAAACTGAAATGAGACTGTTTTGTTCTGCTATCGGAGCCATTTTAAGGCTCATTATATATGATCTTTTATGGCTCTTCTTAGCTTTTTTTAAAAATTGATTTATTAAATTGAGGACATAGTTATCAACAAAAAGTCTTCACATTGGTTACTCAATCCATTTCTTTTGGGGGGGAAAAAAGGAAAGACTAAAAACATGAAGGGAATTAAAATGGCCGCTTTTGAAAATACATCCCCCCTTGAAATGGCTCAAAGAAAAAAATATCCTGGAACAAAATACTCTTACTTCTGGCTGAAAAATCCATCTCTTAAGTTTTTACCGTGCAATTTAAGACACCATATATTATATATGACTTTGCTGATGATTTTTTTCTTGCAAAACATTTTTGCTAGCAGATAAGAATGATCTAGAAGATTTAAGATTGCAGGAAATGCTGAAAGGTTACAAAAATGAAACATCTGCGCAAGGATGCAAAAAGTTCTTGGCTATACCACTTATCAAATAGGCCTCCCGATTAGGAGATCCTTCCTAACAGGTTAAAACTGAGTAATGGTGGCTGCTGCAATTTTGATATTTAGTTTGAAATAATAAAGCGTTGCTCAAGGTACAGAGGTAATCCACCAATTTCTTCAGGTCACTGAGATAACTGAGATTCAGCAGATTACATCGAGTTGTCGCGACAACTTGCCACTCCCTTCAAGTTAATGAGATAAAAAATAAGCTTAAGATTTCTTCAAGCTAACAGAATTATTTTTTCCAATTAATGAGGTTCTTATCTTCCAGTGAAGGGGTGTGGCCATTTCCTTTGAGTTACTGAGGTTTCTGAGTTATCAAGGTTCAAGTCAAACTGAAGGAATCAAGAAACTATAATTGTTTCTTTGAAATAAATGCATAGATTAAAAATAAAATTACGTTTGCTGATTGAAGAAGGAGTGACCCATCACTTTTGAATCAGGCTGAATTCCACATTTTTCTAAGAGAGGGAATAGGACACCGGGAAATAGTATTAACGCTCTTTGTAGACATTCATTAGCCTTCTCTACATCTTTACCGCCGGTTAACAGGAAATGAGCAATAGCTGTCCCATAGGAGAAATTAGGAAGCTGAAAAAAGACATATGAGCAAATATTAACAAATTTTCAAAGAACCTTCAAGAGGAATCGTACCCAAGTAATTCCATAAGCAGTTGGTAATAATCATTTAGGGGGAAAAACTGCTCATGCATGGACATCAGCCATAGAAAGGCAATGCTGCCTCTTCCATTCAATTTGAATGTCAATTCAAAGTTATTTCTTTTTAACATGTGATTTCATTCTTACACAGATGCTTACTCTCAAACTCTTTCCCTGTAATGTGTAAAAATCAGAGGATATTGATGACAATGGGTCAGTTGCCCTATTTACAGAATTAGGTTCTGATTATTTTCGATTACAGATAGGCAAAAAATAATTAGGTTTGTTCAAACACTAACTTTTTATGCCCAATATTGACAGATTCACCTTTCAAAAAACGTGGCATATGACGTGATCCATTGTAGTGGGGTTTACCATGGTTTCTTCCACCTTGATTACATCTGTGTTTTAAGTCGAGCAACCAGTGTAAATGTGTGTATTACTCAATGAGGAAATGAAGGTGTTAAAGACCATGGTATGAACTGATGCAGTGGACAACATCTCAAACCACGCTTTATGAGGGGCAATGTATCTTTTTTTTCCGGATTTTCAAACAATCAAGTCACGGTTCTGTGACTTCCATGACTGACCCATTGGCAGTGTGCATCTGAAGATCGAGAACTGCGTGCAAATATTGAATCTTTTTAGTAATTTTAAAATACAATCTTGCTGCTATCTTGGAGAGATGATCCTTTTGGTTACGTTGATAAAACTATCTCAGCTGGTATTTCTGATAGCCATAACTTTGGGCTAAAATATCAAAGAAAATCAAACATTTATAGAACTGGGCCGAGTTGGACAGATCGGCAGCAAGTCGCATTTTGGAAAAAAGAGGTTGGGAGTGGTTTTGAATTTGACATGTCTTAATTTTTCTCCTGTCGAAAATTCAAAGTCAAGAAAAAATATTTTGTGAAAGTAGTCTTTAGACTTCGTTCTTAACACTGAGTTTTATGGAGGAATACAACTTTGCGGCTCTTTTTCTTGATTCGAACTTGGTGAAAATTGGGACGTTCCTGTTAGACTCAGTCGAACTTGAAAATCTTAAACATTAGCTCTTCATGGTGTCAGATACAAAGATGAATAGTTCTCGTCTCCTCAGATCCTTACTGTCAAATTTAGAGACCTAACAGTTTCCTGAGGCAACCATGGTCACACTTAGTAGAAAGACACTTCGAACAACTTGTTGCATTTTCCCAAGAAATTTCCTCAAAGCACCTGAAGGTGCACTTTATTTACTTTTTTCTGACTCCAAAATTTTTTTAATTCTATGAGTTTGCCCTGATTTTTGTCGGGCCTTTGATCAAATCCTCCACTTGACTTTATTGTCTCACTATTGGGCTATTGAAATTTACCAAGCTCATACTCAGGAACTTGATTAAATTTAATGGGCTTTCTCTTGCATTAGTCTAAAACAGAGAAACATGATTTCATATTATGAACATGACACAAGTGCAATAAGACTTGAATCATACCTGATTGATGTTACGGGTCACAGTCCATTGGTCTGCCGCTGAAAGAAACCAAGAATATTGCTGCGCTCGAATTGCATAGAAGTCTATACTAAGGGTAATAGCCAATGGGTCATTCACTGGATCCAAGGAAAGTAAAAACTTACTCAGCTCCAGCGCAGTGCGGTAGCAAGCTCTCTGTCCAACGAGGGTCAAGTGCTTGAAAAGCGCTATGAAAAGGGCCCTGAAAAGAATAAATACAATTAATAAGCATCTTTCAAGGAGGTAAAGGGGAATAATTCTGATCATTTTAGCAATTTAAGTGCTAAACCGTGACTAACTTAGTGTTGGTCTAACCAAAGATAGCTTCAGAAGCGTCTGCTTGAATGCAAAAACGTTACCTAAATAAGAGAGATAAAAAGACATTCATTAAAAAAAAAAGAAAAAAAAGAGAAATTCAAGTTCTTAGGACTTTCATTTTGAATCCTTACGATCTTACTTGTCCAAAAATAGATGTGTATTGTGTACATGGTTGCGGATGCTATTGAAGCAGCAACCAAGAAAAGAAATTGGTGTCAAATATGTTTTGCAGAAGAAGCAGTCTTCTGCAAAAAGGCTACTAGATCCTAGTTTTACATTAGCCATTATTGATTAAGTTTACAGAGTAAAGACTTGAAATTTTAACCAAGGATGCTAGAGGGCAGTAACTGAAACCACTTTTATGAAGGTTTAAAAAATAATTAGCAGCTTTGAAAATGTGACGTTCCAAGCGATCAATAGTATTTCCTTTCAAAACTGGGTCTCCCGCTGCATGCTTTTAACCAAATAATGCCTCAGTTACTGACTTATCGTTAATGAAAATTATGAAGTTTAAATAGTTATTTGGCAGATATAATTCGACACACAGCCCATGGTCTTGGCATTTGAAAACATTGAGGTTGTTAATGTGGCACTTACAAGAGACAGGTTCGGAAATTGAAGAGAAAAAGAGCGTATGAGATGTTGTACACTTGAGGTATTATTACATGCATAAAAACCATCGAATGACCAATAGTGAAACCGCTAATATAAATGCGTTACATCAAGAGACCAACCTGTTTTCTTGTAAATCATACTCAAGACGGGAGCTAGCACTAGTAGATGCAAACGATGGGTGGAAAAATGATTCCAGAATGAATAAAGCGCGTTCTAAGAATTCAGAGCTCATGGAAAAATCTTCACTGAGCCTGCAAAACTCCGATAGTTGAAGTAGAGCATCAACATGGTACGGATGATTGTCGATTATTTTCTGTGGGGGGGAACACAAAATGAGGACAAATTTCAGTAAAAGTACACAAAATATGCAATAAACTAAAAATTTGAAATTTTCGGAAAAAGGGTGTAAAATCTATGGGTCAGATGGCTCATCCATTTACAGCAATAACATAATAGCTCAAGAACTTGGGGAATAGTTGAAGTTCATTGTTTAATTTCTTCAGATACGAATGTCTCATTGTAGGAGAAAAGCAAACTGATTTCAAGCAATTGGTCCTGTGACTTCTTCCTAGGACCTGAATTTTGTTCCCTGCAGTGAAAATGATTCGTCCTGCAATCTTGGTGTGGTCTATCTGTCATACCATATATCGGATTGATTAGATAAAAAATCTCAGCAGATTCCGACTTTCAAGCCAAAAAAGGTTGACAGCCTCTGTACATAACGATAGTGTAAATCGGCAATCTTATAACTCAGTTTGCGACGTCACAGACTTCCTGTCATACTTTATTTTTTAAACGGAAAACTACTCAACAGCAATTCTTTAAAACTGCCATGATTTTTCTTCTCTGTGCGAAGAAAATTCTGCAAAAACTTCAAGGAATGTCATTTGTACTCCTTTAAAAAAATAACAAAGAGGCGGAGATTTTCAGGCACCGCAAATGAGTTGTAGGACTGCCAACTTACACCATCGATAAGCCTAAAAAATAATTCTCAGTAAAAAAAATTGCAAAATTCAAAGAGATGGAAACAGGGTTTTTCTGGAAAAAAACGTAACATTTGATATATTAACACTTGTATCAAATGCAATGTTTTTTCCAAGGATAATCCTTCTTCCGTTTCTCTGAATTTAACAATTATGTCAAATGATTTACACCCAAATGGAAAAATTCAAGTCAATGGGTTTTTTTTAGAACTACCTGATGCTATTACAGTGATGACAAGCAGAAAATAATATACATTTTTCAACTAGAGAAAATTGCTATACTTACTACAATATTATCAGGGTTTCCACTATCAACAGCATCCAAGAACTTCATCTGAACTTGTTGGTACTGAGGATGATGAATGTACTGATAAACGTTGATTCCATTGCTGCTTGAAACCAGTTTCATTTCAATACCTATCAATCAGAGATTAAATTGAGAGAGATCTTACGAAAATGATAGATTGTGATGCACCACAGGAAAAGGGCACTTCCAATGAAAAAAGTCAAAATTGAGATAACTATACTTTTGTATTGCAAGGTTAGTTCTTAATCATTTGTTTTACAGCTTTCTGACAAGCTATTGCTGAGCTCATTTGGTCAAAAATTGACATTTTTAAGGCAACTTTTTGCGACTGGTAAAAAAAGTTTGAACTGATTCTTTCTCAGTCAGTCGCATGCTCATTTTCATGTTCCAAGTTTTTATTTTTAGCTTTTGTTCGAGTTGAGAATGGGCATGCAACTAATTAGAGGTTCCTTGGCTATGTTTTTTGCCATTTTTTTGTTTTACCCCTTTACTAAGTGAATTCCTTCAGTATAGAAATGTATGAATCAAATTTTTTTCTGAACCAAGTGAACATTTAGATACCTATTATTAAAGTTACCTGGTTTGCCGATTGAAGGCCAATTATTCTTTGGTGTAACAAACCATGTTGTTTTCATGTGACCACGAACCCTGCCTCTCTTCTTCCTGCAATTAAATTTGCAAAGTTTTTTAAATACACACAACACGTTTTACATGTATATAATTAATTATGAATTTGGCAGAGAGGAGTTGTTTTGTTCCATTTTACACTCTCCTTATAATTAATACCATTCATTTATTTGTACCGATACGTTGTGCATCCAAGCTCCATTAATAAGTCCCGGCAAAAATTTCCGGAGAGATTTGACAGATCACTCTTTGAGGTTAGAATATAATAGTTTTCTTTAATAATGGAAATAATAAAGCCAAGAAAGAAAATGGTATAGTTATGACCAGATCTGTGAAAAAGGATCTGATCTTTCGGGAGAAAATTTTCCTCACTATGCTGAACTAAGAAAAAAAAACTCTCAATCCAAAATAACATAAATGAATTTTTAGTTTTTGGGAGGTCAAATTGGACAGTTTTTGTAAAATTACCCTTCAGTGTTTGAAAAAATTTGAGTTCTTTGCGCAATACAACTTACTATTATTAATTAGAAAACTTAACAAAACAAAGAATAAAACTTACATCTCAGTTTGCTGGACGATCTTTGAACCAAAAATTCGTTTTAACTCGTTATTGGGATTAAGATTGCGCTGCTCTATGGAAAGAATATCTTTGCTTCTGCATACAACTACCTTGGGATCAGAGAATGATGGCTCTATTTCACCAAGCATTTCATTGACTTCTCTTACAGATCTTTCCACTTCATCCTGCAGGGAAAAAAAGGGGGAGGGGGGGAGAACACATTAGTGAAACACTAAAAAATAGACTAAATATCACAGGAAAACTTAAAATGAGTCAAAACTTTGTATAAGACAGGACTTCATATCAAGACCTTACTCACTTCTGCACAATACGTCATTGTTAGGGCAATACTTCTCAAAAAGGTGACTTTTGTAGAGAGACTATCTACAGAACAAGCATAAAGCTGTGTAAGTAACAGAACTCACAATGGAAAACTTGTTGAAATTCTGCAACACAACTCAATATTAGTTATGTGTAAAATGAACCTGTAACCTTCCTTATCTAGCCTTATCTTCCTTCTTGTATACTAGGTAGGATGAAAAGTAATGTGTTGAAACATTTAAAAAAAAAAAAAAAAAAAAAAAAAAAAAAAAAAAAAAAAAAAAAAAAAAAAAAAAAAAAAAAAAAAAA